TCGTTAAAGAGGGGAGGAATTCTCCAGTTTCAGACCTGATGTGGAAGGAGTGAACAATGAGTCTGCTTCACCTCCTTCCTGGTGTCTTTTGTTGCTTAGCTAGGCTGCTCCAGGATCTTAGCTGTCCACACAGGGTCTGTTCACAGAATTCATAGAATGGAAGAGACCTCCAAGACCATCGAGTCCAGCCCAGCCCCAACACCCCAACTCAACCCTGGCCCCCAGTGCCACATCCAGGCTTTGTTAAACACCCCCAGGGATGGGGACTGCCGCACCTCCCCTGCCGCCATCCCAGAGCTTTATCACCTTTCTGGGAAAACCGTTCCCGGCACTCCAGACTGAATGCCCTTGGTGCAGCTGCAGGCTGTGTGCTCTGGCTGTGTCAGTGCCTGCAGACAGAGCCCAGCCCAGCTGAGCACAGGCACCTTTCAGGAGCTGTGCAGTGCTGAGGGCACCCCTGAGTCTCCTTTTCTCCAGGGGAGCACCCCCAGCTCCCCCAGGGGTTCCTGACAGGGTTTGTGTTCCAGCCCCTCTCCAGCCTCCTTGCCCCTCTGGACACTCTCCAGGGTCTCACTGTCCAGCTGTGTGATGGTTTTGCCTGCTCTGGTCTCCCATCAGCAGAGGAATGGCTGAAAAGAACACTCTCCAGCCTCCTTGCCCCCTCTGGACACTCTCCAGTGTCTCACTGTCCAGCTGTGTGATGATTTTGCCTGCTCTGGTCTCCCATCAGCAGAGGAATGGCTGCTGTTGGGGTGGGTTTTCTTCCATTCCCTGTTCTTTTCCATTCTTCCCATTCCCTGGGTCTGTGCCATGACTGCAGCGTGTTCTCCTCTCTTGGAGAAGACAGAGCCATTCCCTGGCTCCTCTCTTCCTGAGTGTGTGGAGCTCTGGAGCTGTTGCAGTGTGAGCAGAGCTGCTGTGCGTGATCCCTCCTCGCTCTCAGCTCCTCATTCCCATTAAATTCACTGCCATGGAAGTTTTAACTTTCATCCGGAGCGCTGCCACATCCTGCTGCAGTGACCTGCTGAGGTCACCGCCACGTCAGCCCTCAGGAACAAGCTCCTCACAACCCTTAACACTTTCTCCTGCGAGGTGTTGGCCAGGATGGTTTCCCTGGAAGCTTTTGCAGGGTCTGAAATGCCCCTCAGGAAATCAGCGGGAAGAGGCCGCGCTTCCCGAGCCCTGCCGCTGCTGGGAAGGTGCCGTGGCTCTTCTCCAGAGAATTCCCATCCCATCTTCCAGCCCGAGCTGCCTGGGCACGGGGATCAGAGAGGAGAACATCAAGGAAGGAAAAGGATCATTATTGCTGTGTCTCAGGCAGGAATAAAAACAAATTGTCCGTGTAAATCGCTTTAACACTGGAATGCCCCTTCAGCCCTGGGAGCATCAGCCTGAGCAATACAGCTGGTTTTAGATAGTTGTGAGGAAAAACGTATTAAAATTAAATTAATTCTGTATACAAAACTTCATTACAGAAAAATCAGGTTGTTGTTGGAAGGTTTCTGTGAAGGTTTCTTGAGGCTTTCTTTGCCTCCAAGGAAGCTGATCCTGCTTTAGCATGGAAGTGCTTAGGGTTGACTGTACAAAGATAGACTAATTGGTTGTAAACCCCAAGAATTGTATCATTTAAAGTTATTATACCAGAAATTTCGGATGAAAGAGAATTAAGCACATATTTACAAGCTATAAAAACATAGTTGAAGGTGCTCCTGCTCATTGCAGAGGGGTTGTGACCTTTAAAGGTCACTTCCAACCCAACCAACCATGAAAAATTGGTCTTTATAGCAGCCCAGTCTGTATCCAAAGGAAAACCAGGCTGGAAAGAGCAGGTAATACAGAAAAAAAAAATGGGATTTTGTGTTTGTGTGCTCCTGCACCTGCCCCAGCCATCGCAGGCAGGACAATAAAGGTGGGACATTAACACCCAGCTCTCTGAGAGGGCTGAGAAACCTTTCCCACGTTGGTGGCACCTCATGGAGTTCAGAGAAGTGGCTGAAAATGCCTTGGAAAGGCACAGGGAAGGAGCAGGGTCAGTCCTCAGGGCAGCAGGGTGGGTTTGGGAAGCACTCAGGAGCTGGAGAGCTAAAAATGGAAATATTTCATAGCTGTTAATACTAACATGCTGCTAATGAAGCTGGCTGCTTTTCAGTTCTGGAGAACTTTGCTGCACATCCACCACTTGTGGTGAAAATTTCCATTCTGTGCCCTCCTGGCCCTGTTTTAAAACACAATTTTACAGCGTGGATCAGTCATATCACAGCATGGATTGCACAGAAAAACCCAAGGGGAATTATTAATTCTGCTTTGAGGTAAACAGTGTCTGGTGAGATCACTGAATAAAAGCATAGAATAAACACAGTAATAAATAATTAAAACAAATAAAATGTACTTTTGGTGAGAGAATCCTGTGGAAAACAAATAGCATGTGCTCACATATCTAAATTTTCAGTCTCTTAAGAGATTAGGAAACCTGAAACTAGATTGGCTGAGAGGGCAAAAAAAAAACCAAAAAAGAGGAAGAACTTGCAAATGATGCTTCAGAGTGAGTTTTGGCTTGGTCAGATTTTAGCTGGGATTTTCCTGTATTCGTATTTTAGGGACTTTTGCTTTGCAAAGGACCTTCCATCTTTGCATTTGGCTTCCAGGATCCTGGTGTATGCTGGAGCATCTTTCTGGTACAAGAAAGATTTGCACAGAGTTTCTAAAATATTTAATTTCTGCATCCTTCTGGTTCAAGGAAGATTTGCACAGAGTTCAGAAATATTTAATTTCTGCATCCTTCTGCTTCAAGGAAGATTTGCACAGAGTTTCAGAAATATTTAATTTCTGCATCTGCCTTTCATTAGTTTTTGAGGCATGCACAAGTCTAAGGGGGTTGTTTAACAAATGCTGTTGTACATTTGTTTTTTTCCTTAAAAGTGCTGGAGCTGCTGGGTTTCAAATGTAGCAAATCATAGCCAGGAACTTGAGTTTTTACCAGATATTATTCTCTCCCAAATATCCTAATGTTAATGGCCAAACTGATGAACAACCCACCTTTAGACTTCCCTCCCCCTATTTTATAATTGTTTGTGATACCAGAAGATTTTGAGGGCTCTGTCTGTGTGTGAGGGAAAGAATTCCTCACCTGGCTTCCCTTGGCCAGCCATGGGTGGCTCAGGATTTTAAATAAGCAGGAAAAGCCTTTACTGGGGGAGTGGGATCTCAAGAAAAGCCATCCTGCATTCCCAAAAATATTTTGGAGGGTGCATCAGAAAGAGCTGCTTCCACTGGGAGAAACAGAAATGAAGTGAAATTAAAATATGCCTGAAAAAAGCAAATGCAGCAGGGGCTGAGCACATCCCTGACATCCTTGGAGCAGAGAAGAGACCAAAAAAATACACAAATAAGAATTTGTGAAGCTCTGAGACCGTGGCAAAGGATAAAAATCACTTTTTCAGAGAGGAAGCATTTGGTTGTGTAGGTGTGGAGAAGGATGCTCTGACAGAGCAGGAATTTGTCTGGCTCAAAGGAGCTTTTTTGGAAGATAAAAATGCATTTGTAAAGGTGAATCCCTGACAATGAGCAGGGGAATGTCTGGGAAGCCCATTAGGAAATAATAAATCATGGATTGCATGGTGGGTTGTTTGGTTCAAACCCAGAAGGTTTTGTAAATGAAGCAGCACTTAAAGGTTTTTAGGATTCTGGGAATTGCTGTGACTAAAACCAAGAGTAGGAGCTTTTAACCAAAGCAAAGCTGCTCTGTTGAAAAACAAGAAGTTTGATTTATGAATCTGTAAAAGGCAATGGTTTTATATTCCCCCTCACATTTTAAAACATCTGGGCAATCTTTTTAACATCAGGCCCACACACACATTAAAATCTATTGAGCTTCAGTTCTATGTAATTTAACAGGGGGTTTTAATGAGATTCAAGTTAATATATTTCACCTTTTGCATTTCAGTTTTATGGTGCTGTGCAGAAATAATTCTTGGCTTGTGTGCATATCCCAAAAATCACACTCTCAATTACTTCTTCCCCATATTATTGCCAAGAGATTGTGTCTGGAACCTCAAATTCAGCATTCAAGTGGCAGGGATGGCAGAAAAATGCAGTTTAATTGGGAATGTGTGCCAGGCTCTTCAATATAATTTTTTTTTCAAGCACCAGGGAAGTTGTGTGGCTCTGTCTGACTTTTCCCAGACTAAGCCTCAGGCTTTTAAAGCAATATTTGCTGAAGTCTGCTAGGTCAGATTAACTCACACTGGTGAAGCAAAACCAATAAACATACATTTATTTGAAACACATTTTGGCAGGGCTGGGGAGGAGGGAAAAAGGAGGGATGGAGGCTGGAAGTGGAGGAATGTTCAGCCTCAGATGAGTGGTGGGTGAGGGCTCCCAAACCAGCAGCGCTGTCAGGTTTAGTTTGGACACATTTTAAATGATAATCTGGGAGGTGAAGGAAAAAAATAGAGAGCAGGGGAGAACTGGAATTAATATCTAATGAAAAATGTGAGGAGTGAAGGCATGGAGGAGGTGGAGCACAGAGGAAAATGTACCTGTGGTGTCACAGCTGAGGCTTGTGATGAGAACAATTCCAGACTGAAAACAGGGGGAAACCCAGGGAATAACCAAGGTTTTCTGGCTTTTGGCTGCATCTCAGCAGTGCCCCCAAAGTGTCAGAAGGGATCAGGGGATGTGCCCAACTCCTGGGTGCTTCCTGGGACTGGCTTGGCTGAGATCACATCCAGATCCCAGTTACAAACAACAACAACAACAACAACAATGATGATGATGATGATGATGATAATGATGATGATGATGATGATGATAATAATAATAATAATAACAATAATAATTATTAATAATAATAATTAATAATAATAGTAATTAATAATAATAATATCATCTCTGTTCCCTGGGGTTGCAGGTGAAATTTTATCAGCCTGACCATTTCACTTGTGCCTCCAGCTGTACAAAGCCATTCCTCATAATGTTAATTTTTCCTTTTTTTTTTTCAGTCAGAGTGAAGCTTCTCCTGGGGAGAGTGAAGACCCATTTCAGTCGTGTAGAGGATCCCACAGGCACATAAATGCAGGTGTGTTGGCTTTGGGGGTTCATATTTTATTGTTTTTTGGTGGGAGGATTAATTTAATAAACTATAAAATTGTTGGTTTGGGCTTTTTAAAGCTTAGAAAAACATGAAACAAGGAGCCCAAATAACTCAAATAACTTTCTGCTTTTTCTATTTCAGTACTGGGTATAAAATGCAATTTTCTTTTGAGTCAGAGCTGCCCTGTTGTGCATCCTTGGCAATCTAAACGTTCTTGCATTAAACCTACTCAGTGCTGTTCTCCTGGAGAGACAGAGAAGTAGCAATAAAAAATAAATGCCAATAAATCTTATAAAATACATCATGACTCATAAACCATCAGCAGTTTCAAACACAAAGGCTGAGAGGGGAGAAAACAATGAGGAATATTTTGCTGTTAAGGGGCTGTAAAAATAAAGGCTGACTTTTTAAAAAAGGAAACCTCAAATGAGCTGTTTAAATCACTCAGGCTCAAGTGTTGTTTTCCAGCCAACGAGGTGCTGAAGGATGTGAAAGTTATTTCTGCTTTGAGAAGAGAAACCTTGCAGGAAAGCTGTGGCACCACCAGAACAGAAGGGAGTGATTTGGGGCAGAGTTCCCAGAACCAGAATAATCACTGCCATTTCTTTTTTCCCCTTTTGACCTCGTTGGTTTTAGATAAATCTCTACCTGAGCCCAACCAGCAGTGCTGGATTTGTGCCCTGACAATCCCAACTCCCCTCACGTTTCCCTTTTCCCTTTTCCCTGCACTCCCAGTATCTCAACGTAAAAGAAGATTGCAAAGCCATGGCTTTCTGTGCAAAAATGAGGAGCACCAAGAAGAATGAGCTCAACCTGGAAGCTCAGCACCAGGGGCTGGAAATCCTCTTCTACCTGCAGGACAAAGCCCCCATCTCTTACTCCAGCGGCGAGTTCACCTCGGAGGAGCTGTGCATTGAGGCTGCCCAGAGGTGTTGTGAGTATTTGGGGTTGTTTCAGCTCCCAGGGGCCTGGCAGCAGCCAAAGTGAGGCATCCTCAGTGTGTCAGTCAGAGGAAGAGCCTCCCTGTCCCAATAAATCCCCACAAAGCTGCTTTGACCTCGTGTGCATCCCTCACGTGTCAGGGGCTGTGCTGTGCTCTTCCCTCTGGGCTGGGGCTCAGCAAAACACCTGTAATTCCACAGAAAAGTGGATTTAATCTCTGTTTGACCTCATAGCCTAGTGAGCTTTTGTGTTTACAGTTCTGAGGTTCTTCCCCCATGGAACACCAAACCTTGTCCAGCTGCTGTGGGGGAGAACAGGGGAACTGGGCAGGAATTTCCTGCAGCCCTCAAATGTTTTCTTTGCCCACTCCCCCTGGATTCTTGTAATCCCCTTCAGCTCATTTGCCTAATTGCTCCTCTTCCGTGGGAATGGCTGAAATGATGGAAATCTGCAGGACAAACCTCACAAATGAGTGCTGCTGTTGTTTTTGAAGAGATTTCAGCACAATGAGGGGTGTTTAACACCCACCTGTGTATGCTGCTGGTGTGCATCTTCTTTTGGGGGCTGTGAACCCACAGCTGCTCCCAGAGCTGGGACAGGAATTCCAGCAGCTCTGGGATGGAGTAAACATCCATCCCAAGCAGATCTGGGCTGGAGTAAATGCAGGGTTAAAGCAGATCAGCCCGTTGCTGCCACAGTCTGCTCTTAGTCCATCCCAAGCAGATCTGGGCTGGAGTAAATGCAGGGTTAAAGCAGATTAATGCCACAGTCTGCTCTTATCTGGACAGACCAAAGCTTTCTCTGGGCTACCACCAAAGCTTTCTGCTTGTTTGCCAAAACCTCCTTCCACCTCTGGGGGTTGAATTTATTAACAAAATAAAGCTGAGAACAAAGCTGTGGGTTTGGTAAAACTCCCTTTTCTGTGACCTGGACAGAATGAAGGCTTTAAGTAATTTCTTTGAAGCTCAGACCTTGGGCAGAACCAGGATTTGAGGATCACCTTAACACCAGAAATATCTGTTTAATCCACCCCAAACCCCCTGGTGACAGCTCCACCTCAACCCTTCCTCCCTAATACTTGTTTCAAGCTAATCCCAGTATCAGTTTCTTCTCACGATCCAATATTTGCTTTATGCTTTTGTGTTTGGGGTGTGGATGTGATTCATCCCTGTGTGTTTTTGTGCCAGCTGTGTCCCCCCTGTGCCACAACCTCTTTGCTCTGTATGATGAGAACAAAAAGCTCTGGTATGCACCAAACCAGGTGTTCAAGGTGGAGGAAAAATCATCCTTCAGGCTCCATTACCGCATGAGGTAAGGGAACACCTGCAAAATGGGATTTAGTGGTTTGGGATTTAGGGATTGCTCAGCTCCCTGGGGAAGCAGGGAGGCAGGAGGAGGCAGGAGCAGCAGGAAATATATCAAATATCTCCTGATTTCTGTGCATCTTTGGGGTTTAACCTGGAAAAAAAAAGTTGGAAAAGCACGAGAAGTTGTTTTCACAAAGCTGGGAGTGAGCAAGGTCAGAGTTAGTTGGAAAATTAACTCCAAACCATTTGTGTCAGTGCTTTTATGGATGAATTTAAAGTGTTCTGGAGCAGTGGTTTAACTGTACGTGATAATTCAGAAATTATTCTTTAAAAAAAAATAAATTAATTTTTAAATTTTAAAAAAAATTAAATACAGTGGTGGATTAACTGTACATGATAATTAATAAATTAAATTTTTTAAAAATTAAATTTTTAATTTTTATTTTTTTATTTTAGTTTTTTAATAGAGCAGTGGGTTAACTGTACATGATAATTCAGAAATTATTCTTTAAAAAAAAAATTAAAAATTAATTTTTAAATAAAAAAAAAATAAATACAGTGGTGGATTAACTGTACATGATAATTAATAAATTAAATTTTTAAAAAATTAAATTTTTAATTTTTTTTTTTATTTTTTTTAATTTTAGTTTTTTAATAGAGCAGTGGATTAACTGTACATGATAATTCAGAAATGAATTATTTAAAAAATTAATTTTAAAATATTTTTAATTTTTTAATACAGCAGTGGAATAACTATATATAATCATTCAAAAATGATTTAAAAAAATTTTTAAATCTTCCCCCTTTAAAAAAAATGAGGTTTAAAAAAAAATTTAATAGAGCAGTGGATTAACTGTACATGATAATTAATAAATTAAATTTTTAAAAAATTAAATTTTTAATTTTTTTTTTTATTTTTTTTAATTTTAGTTTTTTAATAGAGCAGTGGATTAACTGTACATGATAATTAATAAATTAAATTTTTAAAAAATTAAATTTTTAATTTTTTTTTTTATTTTTTTTAATTTTAGTTTTTTAATAGAGCAGTGGATTAACTGTACATGATAATTCAGAAATGAATTTTTTAAAATTAAATTTTAAATTCAATGTTTTAAATTTAATATTTTTAATAGAGCAGTGGATTAACTATGTGATAATTCAGAAATGAATTTTAAAAAATTAAATTTAAAATTTTTTAATTTAATTTTTAATAGAGCAGTGAATTAACTGTACATGATAATTCAGAAATGAATTTCTAATTTTTAAAAATTTAAATTAATTTTTTTTCGATAGAACAGTCGATTAACTCTACATGACAATTCAGAAATGAAATAATTTGTATTTTTGCTTACATTGATAGGTTTTTGCCATGTCCTTTTTAATGATATCTCTACAATGAACGATGTGACTGGGCTGAAATGTTTTTGGGCTTTGACTTTTCTCCCTCTGCTGAGAACTTTTTGTTTTCTGTGTGAATTTCTCCTCCCCTGCCCCAAATCAGTGCCAGATGCTGCTGCACTTCTGGTGATGTTTTAAAAGGATTTTCACAGAAACTCTGCGAGCTCCCTGTGGTTTTCTCACTTGCCTCAAGTCCTATTTATTTGATTTGGTTTAGAAAAGAGAAACCCCAGGATTTTGTAATATCCTGGAGTCATTGCTCACAGGGCAGGGGAATTTAACCCTTCCATAGCTGCTTTTGGCTGTGGGAAAGGATCCACTTCCTTTCTGCAGGGATTTTGGAACCCGATTGTAGGATTTTGGGGGTTTGTGTAGTATTTCTGTAGTAATTTTTTTTTTATTTCTGGAGTATTTTTGTGGATTTCTGTAGTATTTTTTTATTTCTGTAATATTTTTATTGATTTCTGTAGTATTTTTGTAGTATTTTGTGCCTTTTTGCAGTATTTTTGTGGTATCTGTGTAGTATTTCTGTAGTAATTTTTTTTTATTTCTGGAGTATTTTTGTGGATTTCTGTAGTATTTTTGTCATGTTTTGTGGGTTTGTGTAGTATTTTTTGTGGATTTTTGTTGTATTTTTTCTGGATTTCTGTAGTATTTTTGTAGTATTTTGTGGCTTTTTGCAGTATTTTTGTGGTATCTGTGTAGTATTTCTGTAGTATTTTTATGGATTCCTGTAGTATTTTTGTCGTATTTTGTGGGTTTGTGTAGTCTTTTTTGTGGATTTCTGTAGTATTTTTCTGGATTTCTACAGTATTTTTGTAGTATTTTGTGGCTTTCTGTAGTATTTTTGTGGTATCTGTGTAGTATTTCTGTAGTATTTTTATGGATTCCTGTAGTATTTTTGTCGTATTTTGTGGGTTTGTGTAGTCTTTTTTGTGGATTTCTGTAGTATTTTTCTGGATTTCTACAGTATTTTTGTAGTATTTTGTGGCTTTCTGTAGTATTTTTGTGGTATCTGTGTAGTATTTCTGTAGTATTTTCATGGATTTTTCTGGAATTTTTGTAGTATTTTGTGGCTTTCTGTAGTATTTTTGTGGTATCTGTGTAGTATTTCTGTAGTATTTTCATGGATTTCTGTAGTATTTTTGTAGTATTTTGTGGGTTTGTGTAGTATTTTTCTAGCATTTTGTGGATTTGTGTTCTTTAGTAAAGAAAATTAAAAATTTTTAATTTCTAGAGTTTTAACATCTCCCCTCTTGTTTGAATTATGAATACTGTATTGATAACATCTTTAATTATTTCTTGTATATATGATTGAAATTTATATTTTATTTGTTATTATTTAATAAAAATTATACTATCAATTTTTATACTTATAAAGGAACTTAAAGTTTATTTTTTTAAAAAAACTATATAAATTTTTATGAATATATATAGGTGGATGAAATACAAAGGTAATTTTTGTGTAATTTATATTTGTATGGCTGGTTTTTTTCTTTGTGGGGTGGTTAGTGTTTTTTTGTACTTGACAGAGGTTTCTATTTTTTATTGACATTTACTTAGATTTTTGTATTTGTTAAAATACAAGTAAACGTATGGTTTTTGTAGGGATTGGAGCATTTTTTTGTTTTGGAAGTGAAGAATAGGTTTCGATAATAAAATATAATAAATAATATAATAGGATATAATAGGATATAATATAATATAATATAATATAATATAATATAATATAATATAATATAATATAATATAATATGATATAATAGGATATAATAGGATATAATAGGATATAATATGATATAATATAATATAATATAATATAATATAATATAATATAATATAATATAATATAATATATTGTAATGTAATATATTGTAATGTAATATAAAATGTTATAGACTATTATAATACATAATGCAACATAGAAAATATTATAGAATATTATAACAAGTAATACAATAGACAATAAAATATTGTATATTAGGTAGAATATTATGTAATAGAATAAAATATTGGTTACATTTATTTTGTAAAATTGCATAGGGATATGTAAGGTGATGATGAATGATGGTGGAAGATGCTCTGAGGGAGGGCTGGGTCCTGCTCCTGGAGCTCAGGGCCACAATTCCCTCCCCAGCTCAGTGGGAAATTCCTGATCCTGTTTTCTTTGTGGAAGTGAAATCCCCAGAATCTGTCCCAGGATCCCGTGGAGCTTTCCAAGGAAAAGATTCTCCTTTATTTACTCCCCCCTCAAACAATGGGCTCCAATTGTTTTGGTAGTTGTGTTAATGAGAGCAGTTAATGAGGAGAAGGAGCAGCGTCTCCTCTCAGCCCCAAACAATGCCCAATACCTCGCCAGTGATTATTTTCAGGAAATAACACCAGAATTGCAGCTATTCATCCTGACTCCTCTTCTGCAGGAGAGCAGGGAAGCCAAGTCATTTCCTCTGCCTTCCAGCAGGATTTGCTTTGCTCTGCTCTCAGGCCTCAGCCCCGCAGTCCTGGAGGATCCTCTGCTTCTGCTCGGGACTTTTTGCCTCAGTTTTGGACTTCCTGCCTAAGGAGAGCTCAACTAAAAAGATTCATTTTATTTTGTTAAAAATCTGACTCTGCACTGAGGCTGAGCCACTCCAGCCTTGACCACTGCAGATTCGGGGCTTTATAAATGTCAATCCCAAACTGGTTTGGACTGGGAGGGTGCTTAAATCCCATCCCATCCCATCCCATCCCGATCCTTCTCCTCTCTCGGTGAACATTCCCAAATCTGTCTTTCCTCAAATCTCTCTAACAAAAAAAAAATAGAAAAACAATCTAATAATTCATAATAATGATATAATTTCCCCCAGTTCCTCAGGCCAGGAATGTGCTGGAATTTGGACCACTTCACCTTCAGGCAGAAGTTTGAGCACTTCTTCCTTTGAACTGCTTTACTTTCCAAAACCCAAATTCTCTTGTGGAAATGGAGGCTTTTCCCAAAACATCTTTCACGTTTGTGCCTTTTTTGGCAGATACTATTTCACCAACTGGCACGGGACCAGCGAGAGCGAGCCCTCGGTGTGGAGGCACTCCCCCAGGAGGGCCAAGGCCTATGACAAGAAGCTGGCCCCTGAGGGGACCCCCATCCTGGATGCCAATTCCCTGGAATACATGTTTGCACAGGTTGGAGTTGTCTCTGATGCTGTATTCCCATAAATAACATTTTTATGGGATTTTTGTCCCATAAAAAGTGTGGGATTTTGCTTTAAAAGCCTCTTTTTAAGCTCCTAAAATACACATCCTGTTAGTGCTGGAAAGGGTTTTCTTTTTGCTGCTGCCTGGTGGAGAGGAGAGGATTTGCTGCATGAAGGAACTCTCCCAAACAGGGTTTTATTTTTAGAGATATTTTCTTCTCCAGTGAATTATTTGTGTTTCTAAACACTGTCAGTCACCTTTTGTGGGACATTTGCACAGAGCTGGGGCTGGAGAGGAGCAGCAGCAGAGGGAAATCTGCCAGGGCTGGGTCCTTTTAATGAGGTGTTTTTACTGGGTGCTGTTAAAGATTGATAAACGTTTGCTGATAACCCCGTGGTGATAAAGATTGATAACCTCACTGCAGTTTTGCTCTCCTCTTGTGCCTTCCAAAGGATTTTTCAAACCAGAAGCTATCAGGTTTCAACAAAAAAATGGGAAAATTCAGGTTGATCAAAGAGCAAATTGAATGCAGGGAGGAAATCCCATTTACTGTTGATCCTGAGTAGAATTCCTGCAGGATTTTCACACTGGGAACCACAAGGAAAGAGAATTTCAGTGAAACATTAAAGCAACCTGGCACAGAAATGTCTTTGATAACCAACCACCTTCCAGGCAGTCCCAGAGCAAGGCTTGCCTTGGAGATGAATCCTGGAGGCTTTGGATGGGAAGGGCAGGGATAAAGCAGAGGCACAAAGTTGCTTTTGTGGAGCAGGAAATAAATATTGAAGGTACTAAAAAGGGCCAGGGGTGGTGATTTCTGTAGTTAATTTTTAAAAAGTGAATTTTTGGTGGGCTGATGTATAAAAGAAGGGGAGGAGGTTCCAGCTTCTCCCTGCCCAAGGATCCTGGGATGAATTCCTGGCTCAGGAACAAATCTGGGAAAGACCAACTGGGTAATTTGGGATTTTTTGTTCTGTTAAGGGCCAGTATGACCTAGTGAAGGGCCTGGCACCCATCCGAGATCCCAAAAACGACCAGGAGGTCCATGAGATTGAGAATGAGTGTCTGGGGATGGCTGTCCTGGCCATCTCCCACGATGCCATCAAGAAAAACGTGAAGCTGCCAGAGCTTCCCAAGGACATCAGGTGAGCTGGGATCCATCCTTTGTCCCTGCTGGCTCTGCTGCTCTCCCAGGAGGAATTTCATTCAATTCAATTGAATTTAATTTAATCCCTTGCTTCTCCTCCCAGTTACAAGCATTATATCCCCGAGACTCTGAACAGGACCATCAGGCAGAGGAATTTCTTGACCAGGATTCGGATCAATAACGTGTTCAAGCATTTCCTGAAGGAGTTCAACAACAAAACCATCTGCAACAACAGCGTCTCCCCTCGGGACCTGAAGGTGAAATATTTATCCACCATGGAGGTCCTGACCAAATATTACGGGGCAGAGATCTTTGAGACCTCGTTTCTGCTGATTTCTGCTGAGAACGAGATGAATAAATTCAACTGTGGAGACAACGAGAAGTACGAGGTGATGGTGACGGGGAACAACGGCATTCAGTGGAGGCTCAAGCCCAGTGTGAGTACCCTGAGGAAGGGCAAGGAAAGGGGATTTTGGGACAGAACAGCTGCTGGAAGATGGTTGTGGTCTTCAGAGCAGCTTGCTGTTGGAGGGGCTTTTGTAGATCACAGGATTATCCAGGCTGGAAGGAGCTCAGGGAGTTCAGCCCAACCCCTTGTTAGGCTCGGTTTGGAGACCAGAGCAGGCTCAGGACTTTTATCCAAGGCTGGACACTGGACAAGCTCTGTGGGCAGCCCTTTTACCAGGAAAATGGAGGGCTCTGTGAAAAACATTCCAGAATTAAATAGATTTATTCTATCTATTAGAATACATTATATTCTACATATTATATTATTATTCCATAAATATTAATTTCATAATCCATATTATAATTCTATTATAATTAATAATTAATCTATATAATTATTCTAGAATTAATTTTAGGTTTCGAGTAAATGTATTAGAATACATTATATTCTATATTTTATATTCTGTAATTTATATTATTTTTATAGTTTATATAATTATTCTATCCTATAATTCTAATAATAAATAGTTTATATTACTATTCTAGAATGAATTTTTGGTTTATAGTAAATATATTACATTATATTCTAAATTTTACTCTAAAATTTATATTCTGTAATTTATATAATAATTATTCTAGAATTCTAATTAATGAATAATTAATTTGCATTCTTATTCTGTAATTTGTATTAATATTATAATTTATACAATAATGCCAGTCTATAATTCTAACTAATAAATAATTAATTTATATTGCTATTCTGGAATGAATTTTTGGTTTAGATTAAAAACTGCTGTGCTAAACATGTTTTAACTAAAGCTTTTATCCCAAATACACTTGCAGCCTGTCCAGACAGAGAAAGAGAAGAAGAAAAAATCCGATGGCAAAACCAAAAAGGAGGAAGAGAGGCACAAACTTCGGGAGACGTGGAACAACTTCTCCTACTTCCCTGAGATCACCCACATCGTCATCAAGGAGGCCACAGTCAGCATCAACAAGCAGGACAACAAGAGGATGGTGAGGGCACACACACAGGGTTTGAACTTGGAGCTCACACACAGGGTTTGAGTTTGGAGCTCACACACAGGGTTTGAATTTGGAGCTCACACACAGAATTTGAATTTGGAATTCACACACAGAATTTGAATTTGGAGCTCACACACAGGATTTGAACTTGGAATTCACACACAGGATTTGAATTTGGAATTCACACACAGGATTTGAACTTGAAATTCACACACAGAATTTGAATTTGGAACTTACAGAACTTGAACTTACAATTCACACATAGAATTTGTCCCTTCCCTTGAGGGAACCTGAGCTTGAGTCCCTGCTGAATCATTTAATTCCCTGCTGGATCATTCAATTCCCTGTACCTGGGTTTAATTCCCTGGTGCATAATTTAATTCCCTGGTGGATCACTTAATTCCTTTCTGGATCATTTAATTCCCTGACAGATCATTCAATTCCCTGGTGAATCATGTAATTCCCTGATAGATCATTCAATTCCCTGATAGATCATTCAATTCCCTGATAGATCATTTAATTCCCTCATAGATCATTCAATTCCCTGCTGGATCACTTAATTCCCTGGTGGATAATTTAATTCCCTCACAGATCATGGAAGCTGTTGCTACACATGATGCCGAGGTTTTGGGGGAAACGTGAGCCCTTTTTGAGGCTGCTTTGTGTGTGCTCTGTGCTGGCAGGAGCTGCGGCTGGGCTCGCACGCCGAGGCGCTGTCCTTCACCTCGCTGGTGGATGGCTACTTCAGGCTGACTGCAGATGCCCACCACTACCTGTGCACCGACGTGGCTCCCCCCCTCATCCAGCACAACATCAGCAACGGCTGCCACGGCCCCATCTGGTCAGTGCCTCTCACTCTGGGGTTTATGGGTCAGGCCCTCTGCATTTTGGGGTTTTTGGGCCCATCTGGTCAGTCTGTTCTGTATTTTGGGGTTATGGGTCAGTCCCTCTGCATTGTGGGGTTTGTGGGCCTGTCTGGTCAGTCCCTCAGCATTTCAGGGGTTTTTGGGCCCATCTGGTCAGTCTGTTCTGTATTTTGGGGTTATGGGTCAGTCCCTCTGCATTTTGGGGTTTGTGGGTCAGTCCCTCTGCATTTTGGGGTTTTTGGGCCCATCTGCTCGGGCCCGTCTGCTCAGTCCCTTTTGCATTTTGGGGTTGTGGGTCAGTCCCTCTGCATTTTCAGGGGTTTTTGGGCCCAATCTGATCAGTCCCTCTCATTTTGGGGTTATGGGTCAGTCCCTATGCATTTTCAGGGGTTATGGGCCCATCCTAGACAGTCCCTCTTCATTTTGGGGTTTGTGGGCCTGTCTGGTCAGTCCCTTCTTCATTTTGGGGTTTGTGGGTCAGTCCCTCTGCATTTTGGGGTTTGTGGGCCTGTTTGGTCAGTCCCTCAGCATTTCAGAGGTTTTTGGGCCCATGTGCTCAGTTCCTCTGCATTTTTGGGTTTATGAGCCCAATCTGGTCAGTCTCTTCTGCAATTCAGGGTTTGTGGGCCCATCTGGTCAGTCCCTCTGCATTTCAGGGGTTTTTGGGCCCATCTGCTCAGTCCCTTCTTCGTTTTGGGGTTTGTAGGTCAGTCACTCTGCACTTCGGGGTTTGTGGGCCTGTCTGCTCAGTCCCTCTGCATTTTCAGGAGTCTGATTTTGATAATTCCTCTCACGGTGAATGTGGGGTTTGGGTGGGTGGTGGTTACCAAAACTTCATTTTGTTAAAGCAAAAAAGTCAGTGTTTCTCTCCTTACTCATCTATAAACTCGGTGTTTCTGCACTAAAGGAGTGTTCCAGGAGTTTTCTCCATGAGCACACGGGAATATTTTAGGTAGAGAGTGGAAGTGTCTTACACTCACCCCAGGAGTCCCTGGATGGATGAACAAAGCCTTGGGTTTTCAAACACTTAAAGGAATTCTCTTCCCTCCACTCATCTTTGTGGCTTTTCCCTTTATTGGCAAAATTTTGATTCTCATTTATTATTTTATTTATTTAAATTTATTGTTTTTATTTTATTATTATTCCCTTTATTATTATTTATTTATTATTCCCTTTATTTATTTATTTATTATTGCCTCTATTTCCCTCTATTTATTTCCCTCTATTTATTTCCCTCTATTTATTTCCCTCTGTTTATTTCCCTCTATTTATTTCCCTCTATTTCCCTCTATTTCCCTCTATTCCCTTTATTCCCTTTATTCAAGCTGCAAACTGCAGAAATCCAGGAGTTCAGCTGCACAGTGTTGGATGCAGAATTCCCTTTATGAATCCCTCCCTCCCTTGCTCTGTGCAGCCCAGTGTGAGCCATGCACCCTTAAATCCTACTTTAATAATAATATAAATATTTCTGAGTTGCTCTTACCCCCCAGGCAGAGGTTTGCTGTCAAAGCCCAGATTTTTGGCTGCTGCCTGGTTGTTTTTCCTCACTGCCCCTTCCCTTGCAGCACGGAATATGCCATCAACAAGCTGAGGCAGGAGGGCAACGAGGTGGGCATGTACGTGCTGAGGTGGAGCTGCACCAACTTCAACCACATCCTGATGACTGTGACGTGTCTGGAGGGCTCAGAGGTACAGGCAGCTGCCATTCCCAGCTGGAATCTGCTCCCTGCCACCCCTGGGGATGGGGTTTTGTCCTCAGGGCACTCACCCTGAGCTCTGGGCAGGGAATTGGCTTTTTTTCCCAGCCCTTTGTGCTGTCTCTCCAAATGGGATTAATTAAATCCAGAACAGCTCCATTCCTCAATCAGATTGTGCAGGAACATGATAAAAATGAAGCATTTTAAACTGATGACACAGAGAATTTGTCACTTCACCTTGCCTTGAGCATGGTTCAGCTTCCCTGGAGCCTCTTTGGGATGGATTTAATTCCCTTGATGGATTTTATTCCCACACTGGGCTCGGCTGGAAGCCTGCAGCTGACTTGGTGGTTTGGGAGGATATTTAAAGTGTTCACACAAGAATAATTATAAATAATAAATTAAATAATGCATAATAAATAATAATAAATAAATGATAAGATAAATCCTTTCCTTAGCAAGAAAAGGTCATGGAATCAGTGGTGAATCAGGAAGGGATATTTGATATTGGGTTTATCTCTTATAGTGACCTGAGACCTTGGGAAAGGCTCCCAGGCTGAGGTGCCAGAAGCGAGAATGTGGAGTTATAAAATAAATGTGTATTTTTAAAGCAGAGACCTGTTAAGCTAAGTAAAGGAAAGTTTAGAGTTTTAGAGTTTAAGATACAGAAAAAATAAAAGAGTTACAAAGGTAACAATGAGTTCAGAATGCAGCACTGTAGGTTTGTGTGCCATAACATGATTGGCTAAGAAAGCTTGCACTGGAGCCTGGGTCCATGAGACCAAATGTGTAAGGAGTGGGTCAAAAGCATGAACATCCTTGGTGGCAGTGGTTTGTTGGTCAATAAACCCTTACAAGGATTGTCACCAGAGGATTGTGACCTTCTGAGCCACGCAGTGAAGATGTGAGCCCAACTCACCCTTCCTGCCTGGGTAGAAGATAAGAAAAATAAACCCCATCATCTCAAGCAACCCAGAGGTCCCATCTCTAACTCAGTCAAAGTCCCCCCAGGTGAACTGGCTGTCCCCAGGAGTGTGGCTGTCCCTGAGCCCTGCAGGGGACCCCAAACCAGCCCTGCTGCCTGCTCTGCCCCTCCCAGCTCCCCTCAGCTGGAACTTTATTTGGCTTTAAGCCTCTGCTTGCAGAGTCCTGCTGTTTGTATGGCTTTGTGTGGACAAAGAAGAGCTCAGGAGTGATGCCTTTCACTGGAAATGAAATCAATATTTATAAGTTTTCTAATGGAAAAGAGGAGTTTTAAGGTCATTTCTTGGGAGTCTTAAGAGTTGATTTGTTGTGGGTGTATTTTTAAAGCCTGACTTATCAGAGAAACAGAGGTTTAAGGGAATATTCTGCTAAAAAAAGGTGAAGTATTCAAAAGCTCTGAGCAGTCAATCTGCATTTAAGCCTCCTCAAATTTTCAAATTTCCCCCATGTTTGTAGTTATTTATTCAGGTCACCTGAATAAACCTCAACAAACACACAGGGGCATGAATACGCTTAAATCAGATTTAATGTTGCCAAAAGAGCTCTTAAATCGTGCCCTGGGCTTTTTCTATGAAATAAAAAGCTGTTGGGGGTATTTTAGTTACATCAGTACAGACAGAGATTGGGTTTGGGTTGGTGTGTTTACAGTCAGCATCCTGCAAAAATATCCCAAGGCAGGATGTTATTTTGGAGGAAATTGCTTCCCCAAACAAAGCCTTCCAGTGAAATATTACTTCCTCTCACTTTTGGAAACACATTAAAGATCACCTCAGCAGCACTTTGTGAATAAGAGCCCCAGCTGTTGTTTATTCTTTTGTTTAGTCTGGGAATGCTCAATCCCAGGGAACCTGTTGGGTGATGTGGAGGTGTAATATCCAAGGAATTCACACAGGGAGGATGCTCAGAGGATCAATTCCTGCTTTGTTCTGGAGCTCTGCCCAGCCTGCACAAGGCATCAAGCTCACTGAAGCAAAAGCAGCTCCCTGGCACTGGGTTCTCACTGGAACAATTTCAGTCTGGAACCAGATCAGCCAGACAGAAAAAAGTGCAGATTCCAATAAATATTTGTGTAAGTCTTGTTTCTTCCTGTCTGACAAATCCCTGCTGCTGTGTCTCAGGGAGAACACCTGGGAAGAGGGACCAGGACCCAGATTTACTCAGGGATGCTCAGCCTCAAGGATGATGAGAACGAAGGGTACCAGAACGAGAGAGAGATCCGAGTCCTGCTCAAAGTCCTGGACCCCAGCCACAGAGACATTTCCTTGGCAAGTTTTTTTCCTTTTGTGTGTCTTTTATTTGATATAAGAAAAAAAGATTAATTAATTTTGTTTTAGAAAATTATATAGTGATATGTAAGATAATGACATAAGTTATTACTAACATTTCTTAGTTACAAGTATAAAGAAACATCAGAGTGAAATAATATATGTAATAGAGAAGAAACAAATAGAAATTAGGAATTAACTAGATAATATACATAATAACACGTGAAATGAGATAATTATCAAGTATTAAAGCATTGTATGTTATCTTGGAGTCTGTAGCAGTTGATAAATTGTAAATTAGTAGAGAATTGGAAGATTGTGTCTAAATAACAATTCTCTAAGTACTCTTTAAAAATCAATGTAGTTATTATATTCATACAGTTAAATTACTAAGCTAAAGTGACTTAAATATGATTTTGATGTAGAAAACACCTCGGTTTGTTATCAAATACCTTCTCTAGCTAGAACTAAAGCCCAACTTCATGGATGACCTTTGGAAGAGGGCAGGGAATGGGAAGTGCTGAGGGCCCAGGCCGGGGCACGTCCCTGCCCTGCTGAGCCAGGGTGGCCTCCAGGGTGGCCTGTGCTGAGCCAGGGTGGCCTCCAGGGTGGCCTGTGCTGAGCCAGGGTGGCCTCCAGGGTGGCCTCCAGGGTGGCCTGTGCTGGCTGGGTGGCCGCAGCTCAGGGGCTGCTGCTGATGTGCCCTGTCCCCTGTCCCCAGGCCTTCTTCGAGACAGCCAGCATGATGAGACAGGTGTCCCACAAGCACATCGTGCTCCTGCACGGCGTCTGCGTCCGCGACCTGGAGAGTGAGTGACGGCTGCCCCCGGGGACAGGGACAGGGATGGCACCTGGGGGGAAAGGGACAGGGACAGGGGATGGCATCTGGGGGACAGGGACAGGGATGGCACCTGGGGGACGGGGACAGGGATGGCACCTGGGGGGGATATGGGGACAGGGATGGCACCTGGTGGGGACGGGGACAGGGACAGGGATGGCACCTGGAGGGGACACAGGGACAGGGATGGCACCCGGGGGGGATATGGGGACAGGGACAGGGCTGGCAGCTCCTGCCTCTGGTGCTTCCCAGGGTGGAGTTGGGACAGCAAAGCAGCTCTAAATAATTCTCCCAATAAATTTCCCTTTCCAACTCTGTGTTTGAGCCTTCCCTAAGGCTGGAATGCCAGAGGGGCAGGGGAAATCTGAAATTTTACACCCTGGGGCAGGGGTGAAATTTACCCGATTAAATTTATTAGATTTCTTACAAATATACATTCATTTGTGTAAAATAAACGTATATTTGTAATATTTATACATATAAAGCATGTACACATTTATATGCATACATTTTTATGTTTATACATGTAAAATATGCACATAAAAATATAAATGTATATAATACAGCTATATGTGACTTTTTAAGCCAAGACAGTCCTAATGTTGTGGGGTGGGGACCAGAAGGAGAGCAAAGCTTTAAAAAAATAAAAGACAAATTAATGCCCCAGCCTGAGCTCTCCCAGGCTCAGGAAAGGAATTTGAGTTAAACGTGGGTGTTAAACAGGGCCATGCTGAAGGAATTTTGGTGCAAGAGCACAGGCGAGCACAGCAGCCTGTTGCTGATTTTTCTGAGCTGTTATGTGCATTAAAATTCCACCCTTGGAATGCCTGCTCCAGGTTTAATGTTCATGTACCACACAAAGCCCCTCAGCCTCTTAATCTGGACTCTGAGCACTGGAATAAACCTTGGGCAAGGTGAAATAAAATCATTTCCAACCATCTGGGCTGGGAGGTGGGAACACAAATTCAGCGACTCCAAACATTCACTGCAGCTCTGACTTTCTGCACCTGCCTCTGCAGATATCATGGTTGAGGAGTTTGTTGAATGTGGGCCTCTGGATCTGTTCATGCATAAGAAAAGTGAAGTTCTCACAACCCCGTGGAAATTCAAAGTGGCCAAACAACTTGCAAGTGCCCTGAGCTACCTGGTAAGAGACACCTTGGCAAAGGCACTGGGGCCTAGCTGGGAATACATTTCCCCCCAGGAAAAGTGCTGGAGTGGGAACACTCTATCTCCCTGCTCCTCCTCTCCTCCTCTTCCTCCAACTTCTTCCCAGGTGTAATTTTGGATTTCAGCTCAGAGTATTTTAGAGATCCCCTGTGGTCTGGTTATCCTGGAGCACTTGCAGAGCTCCAACTTCTTCCCAGGTGTAATTTTGGATTTCAGCTTGGAGCACTTTAGAGATCCCCTGTGGTGTGGATATCCTGGAGCACTCAGAGATGTCTCTCACTGTTCTTTCCCTGCTTTTCTAGGAGGACAAGGACTTGGTGCATGGCAATGTGTGCACCAAGAACATCCTGCTGGCCAGAGAGGGCATTGACACCGAGTACGGGCCCTTCATCAAGCTGAGTGACCCAGGAATCCCCATCACAGTGCTCTCCAGGCAAGGTATGGCCAGGATCTCATCCTCAGGGTAGGGAGGTTTATAGCAGCCACCACTGGCTCTGCCAGAGCAGTAATCAGCTCTCGTGGGTCTGCAAATACCCAGTGGGTGTTCAGAGCATTCATTTCTCTTACAAAATGTTGTGTCCAGTGAGATGAGGCAGAAGGAATCTCAGATTGTGGATGGCTCCAGGCACGAGCCTGTGAAATCCTTCTGAAAACAGGAATTTGAGAATCGAGAAACGGGACAAATTCTGCAGCTGCAGTTTTTCAGACAAGAATAATTCAGCTTTTCCCTCCTGTGGTGTTCACTCCCTGATTGTTTCACCCAGAGCGCGTCGAGCGCATCCCCTGGATTGCACCTGAGTGTGTTGAAGATTCCAAAAACCTCAGCATTGCTGCAGATAAGTGGAGTTTTGGTACAACCCTGTGGGAAATCTGCTATAATGGAGAAACTCCACTGAAAGACAAGACCTTAGCAGAGGTAAAGCTGTTACACAAGCTTGGATCCATCCTCTTGGGCCCTTGAATTTTCCCCCTGTGTGCTGTCCCTCCAGGCCTTGTCCCCAGTCCCTCTGCAGCTCTCCTGGAACCCCTTCAGGCCCTGGCAGGGGCTCTGAGCTCTCCCTGGAGCCTTCTCCTCTCCAGGTGAACAATCCCAGCTCTCCCAGCCTTTTCTAACCCCTGTGTCCCCTTAGAAGCTGAGTGAGATTCTCCCAAACGTCTCTTGTTGGTCTCCCAGGGGTCACTGCTGTGTTCACTGCAGGTTAAAGTTTAAAGTAGAGTCCCTCTTGCTGTGCCCTTGCTGCCTGTGGGCACAGCCCTGCAGGCTGGGAATGCCAATCCCACCTGGCCTGGAGCTGGGGCCTCCCAGGGCTGAGGAGCACCCAGGGTGTCCTTGGCAAACACTTCCTGCTGCAGAAATAACTGGGAAAACCTGGCAGGAAATGATTCAGTGAATTCAGCACCTTTTAAACACTTCATGGGTGTTAAGTGGTTGCTCCAGACCCAGCACAAGAGGGATTCTCTAAAGATCCAAGTTCCAGCTGAAAAGGGGAATTTCCTTGGCAAAGCTCACACTGAAATAAGGATTTAATGGTCACGTCCACTGATGTAGAATCCCAGAACTGCTCAGGTTAGGAAAGACCTCAGAGATCCTCGAGCGCAGCCATTGCCCAGCTCAGAACTGGGAGCCATGGAGGTTCAAATGCCTGCAATGTCTGTTTGCTCCCACAGAAGGAGAGGTTCTACGAGGGGCACTTTGTGCTGGCCACGCCGTCCTGCAAGGAGCTGGCAGACCTGATGAAGCAGTGCATGAACTACGACCCCCACCAGAGACCCTTCTTCAGGGCCATCATGAGGGACATCAACAAACTGGAGGAGCAGAGTAAGGCCAGGGGCACCTGGGGGGGTCATGGAGGCCTGGGCTGGGAGGGACTTCAAGGGCACCTCCTTCCAACCTCATGGAAGCTGAGGAGCTGTTCCAGGGTGGGAAGCTCATCAAGAGAAATCTGGGTGTGGGAGCAGATCCAGAATGGCTGAGGGGATGGAGAATTCCCTGTCAGAAAGCTGGTGGGATCTAAGGAGGGAAAGATGGGACAGTGGGAATGGAGCAAGGATGCCTTGGGGTGTCAGACTTTGCAGGAATCTGAGCTGGGATGTTTCCCCCCCAGATCCTGATATTGTCTCAGAGAAGAAACCTGTCACCGAGGTGGATCCCACCCTCTTTGAGAAGAGGTTCTTGAAAAGAATCCGGGATCTGGGGGAGGTAAGAGGAATGTCACCCCAGAACACAGCCAGTGCTCCTGGCTGTCCCCTGCTGTGTCACAGGCACCCAAATCAGTGCCTGGCTGTCCCCACAGGCCCTGCTGTGTCACACAGACACCCAGATCAGTGCCTGGCTGTCCCACAGCCCCTGCTGTGTCACACAGACACCCAGATCACTGCCTGGCTGTCCCCTGCTGTGTCACACAGACACCCAAATCACTGCCTGGGTGTCACTGTCTGAACTTTGTCCTCAAGGATGCTCCTTTCTCTCCCACCCAGGGCCACTTTGGCAAGGTGGAGCTGTGCAGGTATGACCCAGAAGGTGACAACACCGGGGAGCAGGTGGCAGTGAAATCCCTGAAGCCGGAGAGCGGAGGGAATCACATCGCTGACCTCAAGAAGGAAATTGAAATCCTGAGGAATCTTTATCACGACAACATCGTCAAATACAAGGGGATTTGCACAGAAGATGGTAAATCCTGCAGAATATTAACAAATGTATGGGTTTTCCTTTAGGATTTATAAATGTCCTGCCTGGAGCAGGTTTTCCTGTGCATTGGCTCAGGGATGAATGATGGGAATGAGCCATGGGATATTTAAAATGCTGCCAGAGCTCTGGGCTTGTGCAGAAGCTCTTGGTGTCCACAATGTGAGAAGAGTCTGCAAACCAAACATGCTCTGTTTTTTAGGAGGAAGTGGGATTAAGCTCATCATGGAATTCCTTCCCTCTGGGAGCCTGAAGGAGTATCTCCCACGGAACAAGAACAAGATCAATCTCAAGCAGCTGCTCAGATATGCAGTTCAGATCTGCAAGGTGAGCTGAGCCCCGAGCCTGCAGCTCCATCAGCTGGCTGAGGGGCACGGAGAACATCAGCAACAAACCCATTCCCCTTCTCTGTCCCCAAGGACCAGAATCCTAAAGCAATCTCTCCCACGCTTTGGGTGCCAGTGGCACAAGGATCAGCAGGGGAATAATGAGGAGGTTCCAAAGTTTGCTGTGAAAAGTTGTTCCTGTGGGAGAATTTGGAGGATCAGGAGGGAGGTGAAGTCTAAAGGGATGGAGATGAGCGGGCAGAGCATGGTCAGGCCATATAAAGCAGTAATTGGAGAAAAAGGGATTAAAGTATTGGAGGAGTAAAGGAAAAGGAAAGAAAAGGGTTCTTTTCTCCTCTCTTAGGGCATGGACTACCTGGGCTCCCGTCAGTACGTGCACCGTGACCTGGCAGCGAGAAACGTCCTGGTGGAGAGTGAGAACAGGGTGAAGATTGGGGACTTTGGGCTCACCAAGGCCATCGAGACGGATAAGGAATATTACACCGTCAAGGACGACCGCGACAGCCCCGTCTTCTGGTACAGCCCTGGGCCAGGGACCCCCTGCTCCTGCACCCCCCACGGTTTTCATGGTTTTGTAAGAGGCCTAACTAATGATACACCACGGGAGCAAGGAAAAGGCACCTGGTGGACTGCACTCACTCTTGTGCTGTTCATCTTCCTGCACTTCCTCCATTTCCCCACTGCTTTGGCTTTGGTCTCCTCACTGTGCACATCTTATTTCTTTTTAAGTTTCGTGCAAGGCCACACGAACGCAGCTGTGGCTCTCGAGTTGCTCGGGCTGTGTGTGAGCAGGGCTGGTCCCTGGGTGTGACGCTGTCCCCTCGTGTCCCCAGGTACGCCCCGGAGTGTTTGCTGCAGAGCAAGTTCTACATCGCCTCCGACGTGTGGTCCTTCGGGGTGACGCTCTACGAGCTCCTCACCTACTGTGACTCCGAGTCCAGCCCCATGGCAGTAAGTGGCTGCGACAGAAATGGCTGCCAGAGCTGCTTCAACCACATCATTTAAAAAATTATTCTTGTTTTTGGCAGCAAGAAGAGCAATCAGAGAATTGTGGGCTCATTTGGGGTGGGAGGGACCTTAATGCTCCTGTTGTTCCTCCCCTTCCGTGGGAGCACCTTCCTCCAGGATTGTCCTGGGAAACTTCGCCCTGGGGCTTGGCCTCGTGTTGGGGTGAGGGATTCCCAGGTGACCCCGCTGTCCCCACAGGAGTTCCTGAAGATGATCGGCCCCACGCAGGGACAGATGACGGTGGCACGGCTCGTGCGGGTCCTGCAGGAGGACAAGCGGCTGCCACGGCCACCCAGCTGTCCTGAGGAGGTGAGGAGGGATGGGGATGGATGGATGGATGGATGGATGATGGATGGAGGATGGATGGATGGATGGATGATGGATGGAGGATGGATGGATGGATGGATGATGGATGGAGGATGGATGGATGGATGGATGATGGATGGAGGATGGATGGATGGATGGATGATGGATGGAGGATGGATGGATGGATGGATGATGGATGGAGGATGGATGGATGGATGGATGATGGATGGAGGATGGATGGATGGATGGATGATGGATGGAGGATGGATGGATGGATGGATGATGGATGGAGGATGGATGGATGGATGGATGATGGATGGATGGGGGAGGGAGGAAGGAAGGTCCATCCCTCTGTCCCTGACACGGATTCAGCCCCACAGGGATCACACATCCCTGGTTCCACAGGCCTGACGACTCAGGTAGGAAAACCTTCAGGAGTGCTGGGAAAAGGCACTGCCAAGGTTTTCAAGGGTTGTTTTAAGGTGGTTTTTGATATTAACATTCCCAAGTCCATGGTGTCCCTTCAGAGGGAGCAAGGACTTGCTGTAGTACCTGGATCCATGAAAATTCCTTGGGATCCTTCTGATTTTGGCAGTTCCTGGGGTGCAGCCCCCCAGCTGGAGCAGCTCTGTGTGTTCCAACCTGAACTGCCCAAAGCTCAGGCCCTGCTGACCCTGCCCAACAGCTCAGGTGTTTCTGTTCACTCAGGGACACTCTGCTCCATTGTTTTTACTGCAAAAGCCAAAGAAAGGTTTCATCCCTTTGAAAATATCCCTGTTTGTGCTGCCAGGTGGATCAGCTGATGAGGAAGTGCTGGATCTTCAAACACGACGAACGCACCACCTTCCACAACCTGATCCAAGGATTTGAAACCATTATGAGTAAAATGTAATTACTTTTTTTAAAATCCTGTCAGGACTTTAAATGCCCAGCAAACTATCTATGCCCAAGGCTATTATTTTTTTTATTTTTTGTTTTACTCCTGTAATTTGTACTCTGGCTGGGCTGTTGTGGTTATAAAGGATTCTTTTGCCAACAGATTGAAGAGTTGGCTTAAAAGAATTTAAAAGGTTTGGGCAAAACGAGCTCCAGCTCCCTTAGCTGCTGTTCTTGCAGGGCAGTTTTATCCTGCTCTGCTTCTGGCTGTGCCACAAGTGCAATTGCCCTGATGGACGATGTGAGCTGGGGAAATCCACTGCATTTCTCAGCTCAAACCTCAGCCAGTGGCTGCAAGAGAGCTCAGTTAATAATTTCAAAGTCGTCTGACAAAATATCCTTCACATGCACTTAAATCCTCGTAGCAAACAAAACAACTTTGGCATAAAAATACACGGGAAGCAAAATTTTCAGCTCTTTTTGAACCCACCAGGCCCAGTCCTGAGCTCTTACAGGTATTAAAAAAAAAGTGTTCAAAGACACCACCCCAGGAGTGCAAGGGGTGGGCACAGCTGTGCATTTCAGTGAGAAGCCCAGTTCTGGGATAAATAATTTGCTTTTCCTACCTGCACACCCACACTCTTCCCCTGGCGCTCCCAGCCTGGCTGAAAGTGCATCCCTGGAGCTGAGGGAGGGGCAGGGAAGGAATTCATGGAGCTGGGAAGGAAGGCAGTCCATGGCCAGAACCTGGAGAGGAGCACCCTAAAGGAACAAGGCCTGAGCACCCAGGGGTGCCCAGGGACTGGGAACCCCACCAACCATTTTTTAAAGAACATTTTGACTGGAACCTTCTGCTGCCATCATTTTTCCTATCACACCTGGAGTTGGAAAAAGCTCTGAAGAGATCCTCAAGTTTTGGCAATAATAGAAAGAGGTATATATATATATAAATATATATAAATATATATAAAAAGTGGTTATTATGAGCTCCAAGGAGGTCAGATTTATTTTTACAGTGTTATTGTTTCTGTATGTCACTTAGGAAGCTGAATTTAATCTGTAAGCACTTTGTTACTCTTTATACAAACAAGTCTAATAAATTTTTTTTCTCCATGTGCCTCCCTTTTTCATCATCAAGTAAACAAAGTTTTTAAAACTGAATTTCCATAGGAATGGTGTTTTTTAAAATCTTTTCCTACCTTACCTGATTAAAGGAATCCAGGGCTGTTTTCCTCACACAAAAAAATCCACTTGAAATAAGTACCAACAATTTATTTTCATTGAAAAGTGTAACAAGTTGAGAAAGTTGCATATACAAACAGTTGAAACAAAATATTACAAGTGAATTTATCAATACATACAGGCAGAATCCCAGCCAAGCTCCTGGCTCCTGTTTGTGGAGCAGTTCCAGCAGCTGAGGGAAGAGGGATTTTCATTGGGATTTTTTTAAGCTTTGAAAATGTGGATCCTGGTCACATCCCAAAGCTTGAAAGGCAAAAGTTTAAGACTTTTAATTTTAAAAAATTGGTATTGAAAAATGGCTTCAGTGTTCTCTAGCAAAGAAAAGGGAGGAGGAGGAGGTGGCTCCTGGCCTCAGTGAACTCCATGCAAAGGGAATTGCAGCAGGATTCCAAGGGGGCAAAGCCTTGGAATGGGGGCTGGCTCCTCATGGACCTGTCACTGAGGGCAAAAGGAAGGACTGCTGATCTCCAGCTCCAAGGGCAGAAGAGAACAACTCGAGGCAGAGCTGATAATAAGCTAAAAATACAAAAAGTCTTTAAAAAAAAAGGAAAATACACTCAAAAAGTGGGGTGGCCCGGGAAGAGCTGTCCCACACCTGTGGAAGGAGGATGCTGCCTCACACTGGGAGTGACTTCCTCCATGGGAAGCTGTGCATTCTCAGCCTAAACACAAAGTTATTCCACTGTCCAAGGAGCAGCTCTCCCAACCCCAGGGAATATCCAAGGCAGCACAGGACAGCACCTCCCTCTGAACAGGCATTTACTGAGAACATCACCGAGGCTCTGGGACTCCATTTGGTATCGCTCCATTCCAGGATTAAGGAGAAATATTAAAAATTGAAAGGCTGTAAATGCAGAGCTCTTAATCCTGGAAAAAGGAAAGCTGGAAAGAAAAACCCCACATTCTTCTGAGTTAAAAAAATACAAAATAATTACTATCAAGACTTCCTCTTTGAACTTCCTCGGCTGAGGACTGGAGAAAGGATCAGCTTGCTTTCCTCTGGGTTTTTATTGCTTTCAGCTGGAGCTGCCCCAGCTCCCCAAGTCCCTGTGCTCCGTCCCACAGGTGACAAAGCCAACACTGCCCCTCCTCTCCGAGTGACAGCAGCCACCACCTCTGTCACCTCTGTCCTTGGCCGTGTCGGGACAGAGCTGGCTCCTCTGGGGACACTCACCCGCGCGGCAGGAGCTCCTTGTGGGAGTTAAGGCAGCAATCAATCCAGAGGGATTCCTGCGGGCTCCGTCCTGCATCAGTACACGCGCTTCTTCTTCAGCGAGGACTCGGAGTGGCGAGCCGGGAACTCGGCGGGGCCGGGCTCGGGGGACGCCACGAGGTACGAGGAGCTGCGCTTCGGGGCCACCTGCGGGGACAGCGGCAGCGCTGAGCCTCGCCGCGCCGGGACACGGGGCTGTGGGCTGCACTTAAACGTTCATTCGTTTTTATTTATGGTGTTGTCAGGTTTTTAGTAGTTTATTTGAATAAACTAAAAATGGAGTTGTGTTTTTTTCTTTATAAGGTTTTTAAGGATTAATTGTCTAATTAAGAAACGATACTTAAATTATTTTTATTTTTAACTTAGTAACTATTTGTGTCTTGCAATGTAGGCTTTTTATCTAATTACACAATACTATTTAAACTTATGAAGACGGACTAGTTTTCGCCCTAAAACTTCTATCTTGCTTTAGCTATATTAATATATTCTAAAACTTTAAAGTAAGTTTCCCACTCTGTGCTATCACACACTTCTATTCAATCTCCACACCCACCATCCCCGTCCTCTCACTCCATTTTGGAAGCTTCTCCACAGCCTCAGGTCAGTGCAGTGTTCTCCTGGGGGTCAGTGCCTGTCTCTGAAATCCTCAATAATTTGGCTTCCAACAAGACAGGACAGTGCCACTCGAGCCACGAGCCCTGAGGAGCACTCCAGGCTGGGCATTCCCAGTGAATGATGCCAAAGACCTGGCTCCTTCACCTCTGAGGCCCGGGGTTTGTGCCCTTTCCCTAAAAACCCCACTGCTAGAAGGATCAGCCCCAGCACAGCTGTGGTGCAGCCTCATTGCACAGCACCTGGATAAAATCCCGTGGGACAGTGGCCTTGGTGATGGCCTGCAGCTGATGCAGACACCTCCAGCCTTTAGGGTGAGGCCCCTTTCACTGCTCCTGCAGAGCTGAAGGGTTCAACAGCCCTGGCCCAGCTCCCACCCCAAGGCAGGGCTGGAAAATGAATTTTCCAGCTGTGCCAAGCAGGTCTGGGCAGGCTGTCAGGCCCTGCCTTTCCAAGGAGTGAGGGATGGATGCAGCAGCAATGGATCTTTAATTGGAATTTCAAACCCGAGCTCTCACTCAGCCCTGAGGGGCCCAGAGCAGGGCTCCTGTGAGGGCACAGCTGCTCCAAGGCTCCCCCAGGGCTCCCTGGCTTCCCCTTCCCTTTGGAAAAGCCCTTCCCAGCAGCTCTCCAAGCACCCTGTGCTGCTCACATCCACAACTCAAACTGCTGCTGCCCAGGCCACTTTCATCCTGGGGGCACCTCCACCTCAAACTCAGAATTGTTTGAGGAGACTTCAGTTCTCCCCTGTCCTGTGACAGCCACGGGGATGTCACCCGTGTCCTGTGTCCCTCCACCAGGTCCTGGCTCACTGATGCTTCACACAAACCCCCAACCCTGCTCCTCCTGAGCCTCTGAAACAGCAGCATTAAAAAAAGCCCCAAAAAGAGGATTCAAACGAGCTGCAGGGCCCTGCAAGCACAGCCACACAAGCACACTCTGAGCTGCCAGAGCCTCTTCACGGGGACTCAGCTGCAATTCCAGCAGTTTGGAGCAAATGGTGCTGCTGTGCCCGTGCCAAGGCACTGACCCTGCTCCTCCTGCCTTTTATGGCTCCTGGCATTAACAGCACCACCCCAGGAACCTCTCTGAGATAAACTGGGAGGTGCTGCCTGGCTCAAACCCCACTCTCTCCTGCTGCCATTCCATCATTTCCAGCCATGTCAGAGCCCTGGGAATCTGCAAACTCCATTTTTTCATGTCCCAGCCCATGGCCAGGCTTTGTCCATCTTCACCCCAACTCATGTCAGAGGCAGCTCTAGCCAGGAGTCAGAACTGCTGGAGTTAAAAGAAATGCCTTCACAATCCCCACAGAACAGCAGTGTGATGCCAGGCTAGTGCAGGACTGAAGCCACAGCACTGAATGCTGTGATGCAAGGGCCAGGCCCCTCACCCTCCCATCCACAAACCCAGGAGCAATGGGATTTACCTGCAGCACAGGGACAGAGTTCCTCAGGAGTGCTAAATCCTAACCACACTCCATGAACTGGCCCTCACTGTTGCCAAACCCATTTATTATGTTTATTATTATTATTATAACTCAGTGTCCACTGGAGCAGCAGCAAAGGAAGCTTTGCTCAGTGAGTCTGGCTGAAGCAGGCTGCAGCTGACACCTGCTGTAATTCCAAATAAAAGCCAGCCCCCAGTGAAGGGGCTGTTGGTAACCTGGATGCTGCCCCAGACCAGGTAAACCTGCAGATACTCCAAGAACTGTTTCAGAAACACACAGAAAAATAGTGTATTCTACAAATTAGGCAGGTAAAAATGTTTAGATTTATCCTGTGCTTTTTAATTTGCTTTCCAGGAAATTCTGAGCTGCCCTCTCCACTTCAAGAGATTCTATCCCAGTACAAACCATCTGCAAGTCAGGCAAGCACCCACTGAAATCCAGTGTCAACCTCCTCCTCCCTTCCTGCTTTATTTGCCTCCTTCCAGGCATTTTTGCACACCCTTATCTCTCCAAGAAGCTCCCAAAAACCCAGCCTGGCTCTGCCCATGGGCTCTGGGGCACTGAGGAGCTGATCCCGGGGCCTGGAGGGCTCTGCAGGGCCATGGAGCTGGCCCAGCCTGCTCTCACATTCCACTTTGTGGAGCAGGGATGCAGAGGGAAAGCTCCACTCGGGGGCAGCAGCAGGCAGCAGAAGCGTCCACAGGCACTGCTCCTCCTCCTCCTCCTCTCACCTGCTTTAAGGGATTTGCTGGGGGAGGCTGCAAGCCCGGCTGGGGTCCCTGGGCTCCGCTCAGAAAGGAAGGCACCACCTGCAGGCAGGTGCTGTAGCTTGGGAAAGATCCACCTGCAGATTCCTGAATCCAGAAGGGGATCCATGAAGCAGAAGGAGAAAAGGTTTAAGAATTCTTTTTTCTTTTTGGTATTGTGATGAGCTCTCAGCAGGTATGGAATACCTGAGTCACAAGAGGTGCAATTCACAGCAGCTCAGGTGTGCAGCAATTCCTGGAGCAAAATGTGGGATTGGGATGATGCTTTAGTTTGTGTAATTCCTTTCAAAAGTGTCTTTCTCCTTGCTCACAAAAACCTCAGCTTGGGCAAGAAACAGCCCTTCAATGCTGGGAAACTCAGCACTGGGAAGTGCCATTAATGGAGTGCTGCTTCCTGGTGGGAGCATTTTAATGCACTGCTGAGCATTCCAGGTGGTTTTGGGTGGTGGGATTGGAGACAGAGGTATTTGGGTGTGACTCTGGGGGTGCAGTGCCCATGCAGTGCCTTCTCCAGCCCCTCATTCCTGTGCCAACACACAAAGCAGGTGTCCAAAAGCTGATGGGAGCAACAGCCAGTGGAGACAGCAAGAAAATGGAATTATTTCTCACCTCAGAGGTTTCATTTTCCAAGCCATCCACCCTGGCCTGGGTAGAGTGATGTGCCTGAGCATAATGCTGGTACCAGTGCTGGACAGCCTCCTACAGAGGAGCAGAAATCCTCTCCCATGCCTGACTACAATTCTCACAACCCACAGCTCTCCAAGAAGCATCAAAACACCTTCAGCACCCGGGGTGAAGCTCAAATCACACAGTTAAAATTATGCTAAGTGCTTAAAACACACAGGAGGCACCTCTGGCCTGGCAGTGAGGCAGGGACAACAATTCCTGTTATGGGAACACCTCCAGGGATGGGGCAGCCACAGCTTCTCTGGCACCCCCACCCTCCCAGGGATATCCCTTCCCAATCTCCCATCCATCCCTGCCCTCTGGCAGTGGGAGCCATCCCCTGTGTCCTGTCCCTCCAGGCCTTGTCCCAGGTTCCTCTGCAGCTCTCCTGGAGCCCCTGCAGGCACCAGACCTGATCCAAGGGGTGTGACTGTTACAGTTTTACACAGACTCAGGATGGTTAATGCAAACATGGCAATGCTCTCTGGCAGTGGCCCGTGGCTCAGAGCTCTGCAGCACCTCCTGGCCAGGCTCTGATCAGCACATGGGGCACACGGGGAGCACATCCTGTGCACTGAGAGCAGCTGGCAAACATCCCCCAGCTGTGCAGCAGAGCAGCCTGAGCTCCCTTCCCTGGGATCCAGCCAAACTTCAGGACTGAAAAACTTCTAGGGAAGGCAAAGAGAAAAACGCCCTGGTTTGAAGGCAGACAAAGCCAAGGCAGAGGGGCTGAGAAGTCATTTTTTAGTGAGTGCCCACAGTTCAGGCTCTCAAGAAATAATTTTTTCAAAGTTGTGATTTCAGCAGGGAATGTTCTTTGTGCTAACTCTGCTCTGAACACTGAAATGATCAGATAAAGTGTCAGTGCAGAGGCTCAGGAAGAACACCCAGAGAAAACAAGGAGCAGCTCTGGGAGAACCCCAGGGGACAGCAGGCTGTGGGATTCCTACCTGTGGGTACTCCCCAGGCTGCTGGGAATAACTGAAATAATTTTCCATTGCATGTTGTGGTGCAGTTCCCTGAGACACAGCAGCATCCACGACACTGTTTGCAAGGCTGCTCTGCTGTGGAGGACTGGAGGCTTTGCTGGCAATTGCTGCTGGGAACACAAAGAACACCGTTTGGATAAACACCTGGCGTGTAAAAAACACACTCATTAGGTTCTATTCCAGGATTAAAAACTGCCCCAAATTAATCAGTGCTACTAATAATTGAAAGGCTTCTAGAAGTTTGTGAGCCTCTGAAAATCCACCCCTGTTTAAATAAATTACTTGGCAGTTTTGAGACACGCTACAAGATTTCCTTGAGGACAAATGGTCACTGCATTTACCAGGCAAACAGGATAAATATTTGTGGAAATCTGCAATGAAATCCATGGAATGTTTGCTTACCTGGCAGACAGATACCAGGCAAAACACTTGCCAAATTCAAGTAGGGGTTGGTGCTCAGCCGAATTTCTTTTGGGGGCTCCCCAAGCAGAGAAGTCTGTTTTTTCAAGGGAGTCTGAAAAAGGGAAAGGGCAGTTTGCATTAAACTCATATAAAACTGATCAGAAATAAGGTTAAGTGGCCCAGCAGGGTCTTGGAAAAAGCTTAGTTCTATGAAAAAAACCCTTTTGAAATGCAACTTCTGAAATAAAATGAAACTTTTAAACTCAATCCTTCAAAAGTTCCATTTTATTTCAGCAATCTGGACACATTGCCTGCACTTTTTTCTTCCAAACAGTTTTTGTAGGAATGTTTCTCTTCAGACTGCAAGTTCCTAAAGGATATTACAAAACAAACAAACAAAAGAAAACCTTTTATATGCAAGTGAAGGAATAATAATCACTCGAGCAATTCCAGATGCAGGGAGTGAACATTAAGTACATGGCCAAGACAAAATCAACTCTTTTCATTTGGAGACACAAGGAAATAAAGGCCAAATGTTAGGAAAATCCTGAACTAAGCCCATGTTTCCCTAAAATGCTGAAGTACTGATGTATATTAAAATTATTTATTGTTTTGTAATATAATTATATATTATGTAGAATTATTACTACAAACTATTTTAGATTTATATATAAATTTTCTTAAGGGCAGGAAAACAAATTCTGAAAGAGTGAGACCACTTAAATCCCATTCCATCACAGTCTCACACATCACCTTCAAGGGAATAAAGAATATTTTAAAAAACTGTTAATTAAAAGTGGAAAATTTATATAGACACACACAAGAGCACCTGGAAACCCACAGCCCCCCAGCCACCAGAACTGATGGATCATGAAATTCAACCCCAAGTTCAATTTTTGCCCTGTGGAAGAGACAGTGCCCTGAGCTAAATTTCATCGGGAAGGGAAGGCCAGGGAAGGGAAGGCCAGGGAAGGCCAGGGCTGCAGGCTGCTTACCGGCAGGCTGGGGTCGCAGCCCTTGGGCTGGCCGGCCGCCTTGCAGGCTGCAGCCCGCAGGGCCCCGGCGGCCAGGCCGGGCACGGCCGGGGGGAAGGGCGGCGCTCCCGGCACCGCCTCGCCCTTGTCCCCGGCGGCGGTGGGCCCGGGAAGAGCTTGTCCAACAATGTGCTGATTCGGGAAGAATGGCAGCTTGCCCATCCCTGCTGCTGCTGCTGCTGCTGGAATGGGAGCTGGGTTAGATGCTGCAGCCAGCCATAAATGGAGAAACTTTGCTGTTAGATGGGATTTATTGCAGAGGGTTTGCTCGTGGGGTTAATGAGGGTGGAGGAGAGCAATTCCACATCTGCTGCACTGCACTGTGTTCCTTCCCCATCCCACAGGCAAACAACTCAATTTCAAGCTGATTCAATAAAACTCTGACTTCTCTAAACATTCCCTGTGATAACTTTCTTAGTGCTTCCTGACATTTTCAAAAAAAAACTGGGAACAACATCCTGGAGGATGCTGGATGGGAGCACAGGGGGAAACCCCACCTCAGCTGGCATTGGGAACAATTCTTTCCACTGAAGAGCAGGAAAGTTTCTCCAAAATGAAAACCTGGGTATTTGGAGGAGCTTTCTGTACTCCCCTGGATGCCTTCTCCTTGCCCCTGGTCACTGCCATGACTCAGAGCATGGAACACAGGGAGCAGGGGAGGAAACAGGATCAGAAAATCCTGGAATGGTTTGGGTTGGGAGGGACCTTAAGGATCATCCATTCCCATGGCAGGGACACTTTCCACTGTCCCAGGGTGCTCCAGCCTGGCCTTGGGCACTGCCAGGGATGCAGGGCCTGCCCACCCTGCCAGGAACAATTCCCAATTCCCAATATCCCATCTAAATCCCCCTTTCCAGCTTCCAGCCATTCCCTGTGTGCTGTCCCTCCATCCTTGTCCCCAGTCCCTCTGCAGCTCTCCTGGAGCCCCTCCAGGCCCTGCCAGGGGCTCTGAGCTCTGCCTGGATCCTTCTCCTCTCCAGGGGAACACTCCCAGTACCCAGCTGATCTGTCCTCATAAATACTGAGGGCACCAGTGGCACAGACATTTGCATTCCAAACTGACACATGCAACAGGCTGGCTGTTAAAACTCATTTCTTAATAAAATGAAGGCAAAGAGCAAATTTGTGGTGCCTCTGCAGCAACTCCCATTTACCTGCTTTGAAAACCCCACAAAATGTCACCTCTAAATAAAAGCATCTTCCAAGTGTACCAAAAAAAGGCAGTAACTGAGCTAGCAGAGTATTGAACAAGCTGCTTTTGTTACACAGGGACACAGTCAGGTGCATGAAGTGAAGCTGGGCCTGTCTACTGCTTTGGGGTGAAATGAAATGTCATTTACACTTGAGAGCTTCTCCTCGTGCTGCCAGGCCTGAGTTCACTGCTGGCATCACCCCTATGCCCAGCACTGTCTGCAGGAGCATTGTTGGAGGCTCTCCCAGCAAACCTGGTTTCTAAAAGGAAGAAGAGAAAACTGTGTAAATGATTAAAATAATCTGCTCATAGCTACTTTTTACAGCTTCCACATTCCCAGCCCCTGCAGCTCCACTGAAGTGTTCAAGGCTCACAGAACCACGAGAAGGGAACTCACAGACCAGGGGCACCTGATGCTACAATGATTTATTTCAGGAATGAGGAGAGCTCAGAGAGGCAGAGCTGAGGAGGGCCTTACACTGTTTGCCTGCATGTTCTCCATCTTCAGGAGCTGCTGCTGGGCCAGGGGCAGGTGAGCAGGGCTCTGCAGCAGCAGGCTGGAGGTGCTCCCCAGAATTGAGCTCTGAGAAAGGATTAAAACAAGGGTTAGTTGGCAGCCAGGGAGAAACACCTGCACACAGCACTGCCTGAAGAAATGAAAGATTTTCAGTTAAGACAGCAAAAGGAAATAATTTCCTCCACAGAACTGATTTTGTTTCAGAGAAATACCCAGATATGTTTCCCCCCACAACAATCTACATGAAATCCTACTCCAAAGGCATTAAAAGCTGACAAATCACAGATTTGTGATTTATAGACTTGCCTGCAGATTGGCAGGTCTATAAAATATTCACATTGTTCATTCAGAATATTCTGGATCAGTTTGCCACCAGAACTGAACCACTGAATTAATAACTTTGGGGCACCCTCTTCAGACTCTGCCACTGGTATATTCAACATGATGAGCTCTGGCCAGCACTGAGGCTTAAAATAAACTGCAAAAGACATCATGATTTATGCTACAGGCCTGGAAGTGCCTGGCAGCATCATCTGCCAGTAAAATGCAGGTTGTTCTATAGGTTGTTGTACAAAAATAGACAGGACACTGGGATCATGCCAAGCACACCCCTCTTTATTGTTTTTTATCACCAAACCCAGGGAATGAAGGGTGCAGAACACCTCCCAAGTATTTCCAAGCCTTGGCTGTGTCTGGGTGGCAGGCTTCAATTCCTTAGGGGAAAACCCTTTATGACTGAAATATGATCTTCTGGACTCAGAAATGTGCTTTTCCAAACAAAGATGGGCCATATCTAGATTAGTTATGCATCTATTTCAATTGTCTCAGTGATTTCCAGGAGAAATTATGCAGGGCTGCTTATTGTCACCAGTGCCAGGGGCTGCTCCTTCTAAACTTGGCTCCAGCAACAAAGCAAAGTGGTTCAATAGCAAAACTTTCAGAAATAAAAGCGTGGAAAAATCAGCTTGGTCAGAATCCTCAGAGGAAAGGCTCTGGATTAATCAAGATGTAATAAATTGCTGGATGACTGAGGAAAACATCCCTGAGAAAGCTGAAAATGCATTATTTTGGAGCAGGATAATTTATAACTAAGAGAAATAAAGAGAAACGAGTTGAAAATCAGGCTACCTTGACTTGAAAAATTACTGGGTGAATAACCTTCAAATCCTCTCTGTTGACTGCTTTTAAAATAATTATTTTAAAATATTTATTCTCATTCTGTTACTTCACAAAGGCCTGAATATAAAATAGAAACCTAAGACATGCATGGAGCTAAACCAGCAGGACTGGGGAGGGGTTTCAGTGACAACAGTGAATTTCAAAATAAACAAATAAATCAACAAACCAGTGACCTGCTTATCTGGCTTTAGAGAACACCCCAAAACAAATCACCCCAGAAGAGAAAAATGTGCCTTATAGAGAAAATTTGGATCATCAAATCCTTCTAGAATTCAGTTTGGAGCTCATGAAATGACAGGAAGCTCCCAGGAAGAGAAGGAGATGAGACTTTTACATCTCTGGACAGACAAAACACGGAGTTGTTTGGCTGCAGCTCTCCCAAGCCAAAATCCACTGGAAAAACCTCTGGATCATCATCAATCCCACTGCTAATTGTGGAAAACATCCCTGGCTCCAGCTGGGAGCACCAAACACTCCCACTGCCTTCCAAGGAAGCACAGGCTGAAGAGAGGGCAGCAGGAACTTGAACAGACCAATTGAAAATGTCATTTCAGTTAAAAAAAAATCAACAAAGAATGATATATATTTTTATATGGGGCAAAATTAGGCAGAATTTATTCAAAATTAATATATTCACCTACCAGTATTTAGGAAAAAAAAAACAACTCAATATACTTAACATAGGGAATATTCCTGCATTTTAGCTGTGTCTTTTTAAAGATCTGTATTTGCCAAAAGAACTGCAGGAATAATTGATGCTGAAGGGGATTTTATTTTTAAAATGGGAATTCCTGAAACATCAGCAATAATAAGGCCAAGTGATCGACTCCAGTCCCTGGTAGGTATTTGTGTAAATCCCTACCATGAATATTTAATTCAATTTTTGGCTCCTGGCAGAGCTGGAGAAACCCTGAGAGCAGCTCAGCTCAAGGCAGAGATTCTGGCTGTGGGTGCATTTTCTCTCTCTCAGTTTCTAACCAACCCATCCCAAAGATCCTTCCCATCTTCTCTCAGGAATTCTGGTGCCCATCTGGAACTACAGCAGAACTTGGGGGGTTTATCAGTAAGAAGTAACATCTGTAAATCTCTATTTTTTTATGGCACATTTGGGTCCCTGCAAGCTTGAAAATGAAGCTAAGGCTGCTGAACTCTGGTTTGAATCAGATAAACCCATAGAGCCTCTCTCTCCAGGAGTGTGGATGAGCTGCTCCAAGGCCCCTTGAGAGCTCATTTCAAGAAGATTTTTCTGCCAGTAATGACAAGTTTTGTCTACACTGGCAGGTTTTAAGTCCAAAATTTAGGTAAAATAACTCCATTCTGGACAGTTAGCACTGCCTGCTCCCCCATCTCATAACTTTGCTTAGAGCTCCAACAAGAACATTTAATTTAAATGTAACACCTTAAAACTTTAGGACCTCTCACATTGAGTTCTCCCCAAATTCCTCTTTCAATGACAGGTTTTTTTGTCACATACCTGATGAACTTTATTCAGCTGTAAAAAAGGTGGCCCAACTGCTGAATTTATGAGGTGAGGTAAACCTGCAGATGCTCCAAGAACTGCTTAAGAAACACACAAAAAAGTCGTGTATTTTACAAATTAGGCAAGTAAAAGTCTTCAGAATTATCCCGTATTTTTAGATGTGCTTTCCAGAAAATTTTCAAGGGTACAAAGGTTGCTATAAGGCAACGAGAGACTCGTTGAGGTTGGGAGAGGCTATGAAACCTTTTGGTGTAGAAGTACCAGAATGTGAGAGCTCCTCCACACCTGAGAGTTTCACTCCTGGGCTGATTGCAGGCCTCAGCTTTATCTGAAGTGCTTTAAATTGAGATTTAGCTCAAGTGTTTCTGCCCTGAAGTGGTCACTTCACACCCATTTCTGGCTTTCTTTGTCACCACACTCTCAGCTCTCTCCCACTTGATCTCCTCATCACCTGCTCCTGTCTGAGCACTTTCACTGTTTGAAATGTGATTAATTAGGGTTTATGTTTATTCACATCCTAATTAGAACACAGAAATGTTTCTGGCTGATGCTGGAATAAATATTCTACACAGCTGTGGCAGCAGCCAAAAGACTAAAGATTTACATTGGCAACAGGAGGAAGACTCAGGCTGCAAAATTGAGATCTAAAATCAGATTTAAGTGTAGCCAAGTCTTGCAAAAGACATCTCTTTCTAAACCCATTTGCAATATAAATATTCAGAGCCCAGAGTTCATACAAGGGAATTTGTAGGAACACTGAATTTTACCCACACACAAGAGTGCAGCAAAGCACCTCTTGCTTTTGCTCTCCTAAAAGGTTTGAAATCACCTTCTCAAACACTCTGCAACAGTGTCTCCACAGATTTTAAACATTATTTCTGCTTAATTGCTCTGCAAAAGCCTTGCAGCACTAAGAACAGGGTTTGGTCTTGCATTATTTTAGAGCAGCTTACCAGGTTTAACAGCGTGGCCACGCAGCTGGGGCTGCAGCAGCATCTGCAGCATTGCTGGATTATTAAAACTTTTCATGATCTGCACTGGATTTGGCTCTGGAAGCAAGCCTTTCCTATTGTTCCTCATCTCCAGTGAAGAGAGAAAAAGTGTTAGAAGCAGGAAAAAGCAATGGATACATTTAAATCCCTCAAACTCCAATGGCAATGTACACATTTCATCTGACAAAAACCCATTTCCTGCTTTTTTCCCCCTCAAATGAAACACCTAACAAACTACTCCAACAAAATTTCAAGCACATTTCTTTTTTTTTTCCTTTAAACCCAGAGTTATCAGTACAGGAGAATAAGAAATGTTGCCATGAGCACCGTATCTTGTAACAGACTTCTCATCTCTTTATTACAGAGATGTGGCCTGAGCAGGCTGAAGAGAGGGAACTCTTCTGCCTCTCCTTGTAACACTCATCACATCCAATTTTCTAGGAAATAATTTGATAAGACATGTGGGTGTAAAAAGCTTTCTTCTACCTCGAGCATGAAATGAACCTATTTCTTGAAATGTATCTTAAAGCTGACAAATTCTTGCTTCTCTGTTTTAAACCAAGCTTTAGCTCGTCCAGTGACTCATTCCCAGTCACTTTTGTTTTGAGCTGCAATGATTTCTCTTACAGGAGATTACATTTAATAAATCCCAGAGCTATGTGGGTGCAACTTTGTGGTATTTTATGGATATTTATTCATCTTCTTCCTGGCCATCTTTGCCTAGGAAGGAGCCTGAACAGGGCTGATGATACAGAATTCCAGAATGGTTTGGGTTGGTTAAAGCCCTTACCATGGGCAGGGATCCAACAGCACCAATCCCATGGAATCACAGAATTGCAGAATGGTTTGGCTTGGTTAAAGCCCTTTACCACGGGCAGGGATCCAACAGCACTGACCCCACAGAATCACAGAATTCCAGAATGGTTTGGGTTGGTTAAAGCCCTTTACCACGGGCAGGGATCCAACAGCACCGACCCCATGGAATCACAGAATTCCAGACTGGTTTGGGTTGGTTAAAGGCCTTTACCCTGGGTAGGGATCCAAAAGCACCGATCCCATGGAATCACAGAATTCCAGACTGGTTTGGGTTGGGATGGGCCTTAAATCCCATCCCATGCCTGCCATGGCAGGGACGCCGCCCACTGTCCCAGGCTGCTCCAAGCCCAGTGTCCAGCTTTGATAAACCCAAAAAGCTTCCCAAACCCGGCTCCTTTCCAGGCTGCACAAAGGCCCAGCTCAGGCAGGAGAGCTGATCCCAAAGAGGCTCCCGGGCTCTCACCATCCTCTGTGCTGCTATCAGGGCTGCCAGGGTGCTCCTGCCCGGCGCTCCGGGGGCGCAGAAGGACACCTGCAGCCTCCTGCCGTGGATGGTGACGCCGTCCATGGCCCCGCGCACGCGCTCCGCCTGCTCCGCGCTCTCGTACTCCACCACGGCGAAGTCGCCGCTGCCGCCCTCCTCGTCCTGGGCAAACTGCAACACACGGCCGTGGGACACGGAGTGCCAGGGAAACAGCTCCCAGAGCCCGTGGGAGAGGGAATTCCAGGGAAACAGCTCCCAGAGCCCGTGGGAGAGGGAATTCCAGGGAAACAGCTCCCAGAGCCCATGGGAAAGGGAATTCCAGCTGTAACAGCACCCAGGGTACCCATGGAAAATGGGAATTCCAGGAAAAACAGCTCCCAGAGACCATGGGAAAGGGAATTCCAGGAAAAACAGCTCCCAGAGTACCCATGGAAAAGGGAATTCTGGAAAACACAGCACCCAGAGACCCATGGAAAATGGGAATTCCAGCAACAACTCCCAGCACTCCATGGAAAATGGGAATTCCAGCAGTAACAGCACCCAGAGTACCATGGAAAATGGGAATTCCAGGAAAAACAGCACCCAGAGCCCATGGAAAATGGGAATTCCATGAAAAACAGCCCCCAGAGCCCATGGAAAATGGAATTCCAGCAGTAACAACTCCCAGCACTCCACAGAAAATGGGAATTCCAGCAAAAACAGCACCCAGAGCACCATGGAAAATAGGAATTCCAACAGCTGCCCTGCAATATTGTCACCTGCCCCTTGCAAGAACTTGCACAGCCGACAGAACCAAGGTTAGTATTTCCCCCAAACCATGAGGTTCTTGCTGTAAACGCTGGAAATAATTTGGATATCACACCTTCATCTACCTGGCACTCACGTTCATGGACTCATGGCTGTCTCCTCGTGGTTGCCTGCTCATCCCTTCCATGACCTCTCCCATTCCCACCTCCATTCCATCCCACCTCACACAACCCCAGCCACGAAATGCATTTTACACATACTTAACCAGCAAAGCAGGAGTGAGGAGCAAACTCTACATACAGCTGGATGCTACAACCAGTTTTATTTTGCAGGATAATTATAAACTCGTTCTTCTTCATTTTTTTCAGCCTGCAGTATTCAAAGTGCTGTTCAGCAGGGTGCATGACAGCTGCTGAAACATGCAACAATGCACATCCCACCAGTATCTGGTGCCTTGTGGGAGCAGGGGAAGGCTGTGGTTGTGGGGAATGCCAAGGGGAGATGCCAGACTGATCAATCAGGCAGACTGGAAAAGGGCTTACGTGGCAAACACTGCTCTGGCCTTTGTGTGCAGACTTTGGGAGAGAATGAGCAGATTTAAATCAAACAAAAAAACAGGCTCAGAAGGGAGGGATGAAGCTCAGGCAAAAATCTCCAGTCCCTAAATGAATGGGAGTGATAAACTGATACCAGCTCTGGTGTGGAAGAGACAAAACCTCCCCGAGATTGCACTGCATAAAAACAACCTCAGCCCCACAGACTTCTCCTGACAACTGAAATATAAATGATTGGAATCAAAGATGTGGAAGAAAAAGAGGGTGGTGAGATCTTTACTGGCACTGTTACTGCCTGGCCTCTGGGCAGAGCTCTGGAGAACAGATATTTCATATAAAAATACATTTTATATTCATATTTTATTTTGATACCAGGTTAGGTGCACTGGCAAAGACCTGAGGTACTGGAGAAAAGAAGGGTTTGAAGCTATGGACCATCTGTATTTTAGTTTCAGCTAAAATGAAGCACAGTTAAAAACTCCCTTAATGTGTCCCAAGTGCAGCCACCAATATTCTTGCAAAGGATTTGGGAATTTTTCAACTTCCCAAAGTAAAGAGGTACTAAAAAAAAGCTCTTTATTCCTATCCAGATAAGGGTGGAGACCTTTCAATGACAATTTCAAGTTGACAGAAGAAAAGAATGAGGTTTTCTGGTCCTCTTTGTTGAAACAATGGACAAAACACATTTTTCCTAATGTCCATGTGCAAGTATTTAGCTGCAGCTCCTCCTGACAGAACATTTCTGTTGTCAGCAGAGGAGAAATACAAACTATTAAAAAAAAAATAGTTAACTTTAGAATAAGATGAAAAAACCCAGAGTTTATTTCATGAATCAGGTAAGAATTTTGGGCAAAGGATTGTGATGAAATACTGCATGAGCTCCCAGCAGAACTAAGCCATGGCAGCACCTCAAGAGCTGCATTAAAGTTTTCCACAAAAAAACCACTTTCTCAGTCATTCCCTGTAGAAATTCTCCCCAAACTGAGATTTCTGCTTCCCTGTCCTCTCCCAGTTTTTCTGTCTCTACCCAACCTACCACATCCCCCCTCTCTGCTTTTTCCACCTTTTCTTAGGTCTTCCTCCTCCTCCTTTCTTTGTCCTCGATTTTCAGGTTGTCTCACTCTTAAACCCCTAATTAATTAGCATCCATTTTCTTCCCTTTGTCACCTATCAAATCTGAACTATTTGTTTTCCTGCCCCCATCCTCCTGTATTTTATAGGAACTGACCTAATGCAGACACTCTCCTCACCCACACCAAGTGTGACCCAAGATTAATTATGATTTAAAAGGTAAAAAGTCAATTTTTGAGTGCTTCTAACTGCCCAGCAGAGCTCTGTCAGTGAAACCCATTTTTCCCCAAGAAGTCTGTCATTTGAAGCTCAGAATTTTTAAAGGATGGTGAAAAATTGTTGGGGGAGCTGATAACAGCCCCTGGATTATTTGACAGCTGGGAGAAAAAAAAAGCCCTGAAGGAAGAGACTTAAAAGGATCAATCTGTTGAGCTAATTAAACAAAGATTGAGCAGCAGACCTGAGTCCAGCATTTAATACCTTCTCACAGCAAGAAAATAATGGGGAGCAAAAGCTCCTTAATTTAGGATCAGGGAGGTGAGGCTGAAGCCAGACACATTCCCAGGCTCGAGACCAAAACAGGCAGGAATGGGCATTTTCTGGGAAGAGTTAATTCCAGTTCATTCATCTCCTGGTGGATCTGGATCAGGCAAGTCTGAGGATTTCCTGTGGCCAGCTACAGATTGCTGGGGCTGGAAAAGAGCCCTGGGGAGGGGGAAGGCTGCAGGTGCTCAGGCTGCAGATCCTGAGGGACCTTCTGCTCCATGTGCTGGGAATCTCCGGGTGCTCATCCCTGAGGCTGATCCCTGAGCAGCCTTCCAAGAGACTTAAGGGGAAAAAACAACACAAAAACAACCCTGCCACTGAAATCTGTGTGTCTACAAGGAAAGATTTCCTTCTGCTGCTTGTTTATGATGATCTACCCATGCCACATTGATTTGTGGCCACGAGGATGAGAAGGAAACCTCTGCACTAGAAAGGCAAGGATCCACCACTTCTGCACTTCCCAGCTTTCCAAAAGATGTGTCACTCCTATCCCTGGAAGAGCCAAGAACCCAAGCCTTCCTCAGTTAGGGAAAAACATGTTAAATATTAATATATTAATTAGACGATGTATTTTGCATCATCTCAACTGTTGCACTTGTGGTATTCATACACCCTGGCTTTCTTTGAGTAATAAAACCTTCAGCAATGTTTACTTTAAAAGCTCTCAAAAACCAAATTATTTTCAGTAAATGATGTAAGGGGATGTCCTCCAAACATTTTGCTGGCATTTCACTGGAGTGGTGTCCTGCAGAATTCCCAGACAACACGGATCCCACTGCACACCCAGAGCAGTTCAGCATCACTGCTGGAGTGATTTCCTGCAGAATTCCCAGACAACATGGATCCCACTGCACACCCAGGGCAGCTCAGCATCACTGCTGGAGTGATTTCCTGTAGAATTCCCAGAATTCCCAGACAACATGAATCCCACTGCACACACAGAGCAGCTCAGCATCACTGCTAGTGTGCTATCCTGCAGAATTCCCAGACAACATGGATCCCACTGCACACCCAGAGCAGTTCAGCATCACTGCTCCCATCACTGTGTAGATGGGAGCAACAGTTGATAAAAAAATAATAGGAAAATAAAAATAAATAAGAAAAATAGGAAAATAGATAGGAAAAACAAAAGAAGAGTGAAGTGAGGCAATGCTGCCATCCCAGCCTTGGTTCTCCATGAGACAGAAACCCAACCTACCTGGCAGAAGACAGGTTTGTACTTCAGGGAGAAAGCCTGGAGCAGCTCTTTTGAATCGGCGCAGTCTTTTTGTAATTTATCCACACAAAGGCACTTGGAGTGAATGAGGTTTGTGGTGAGCTGGTTCACATCCATCCACTGTGCAAACAGAGTGCTCTCCTCCAGCTGCTTGCCCAGGAGCTCCAGCCTGGCCTTGGCAGCAGAGTCCTTCTTCATGTACTCCACGAATCCATAGCCCTTGGAATGGCCGGTGAGCTCGCTGTAGACCAGGAAACACCTCTCCACGTTGCCATAGGCACGCACCAGTTCCTCAAACTCCTCGATGCTGAGGGAAAGGGGCAGGTTGGTGATGCACAGCAGAGCATCCGTGGGCTGCAGCTGCACGGAGATCTCCTTGCCACGCAGGCAGTGCTGGTGGAACCTCCTGATGGCGCTCTGGGCCTGCTCCCCGTTCAGCAGCGTGACAAATGCTGCAAGGGACAGGAGTGGGACATCAGCTACCCCAGCTGACTGCAGGCACACCTCTCCCCACCCTGAAACCACTGAGAGAGCTGCAGATCCACCCCAAAGATCCAACAAATATATCTATTATATATAATACCTCAAATCTCAATTGAACATCATGAGCAATTAACTCAAAACGTTGTGATGCACACAACTTCACTACTTGGAACCCAACCAATTCTGTATCTGGGGAACAAAATTAAATATTCTACTAGCAGACTGTTCTTCGCTAAATTAAATATTCCACTGAAGTGGAATACACACATCACAGATTCTACGGAATCTCCTTGATGACAACATCCATAAGTTCTCACTTTGGGGTTAACAGATTTTTTTGGGGCTTTTCAGTCCATAAGGCATTTCACACAGTCCCAAACTGGACCTCCTGCTCCTCAAGCAGGGTCACCCAGATGGGTTCCCAGGATGCCAAGGGATGCAGATCTCTCTGCACAACCTCCAACAGTGCTGGGTGACCCTGAGAGGGCAGAAGTGTTTCCTGATGTGAGCAAACTGCTCATGCACCTGGAGCTGGGCAGGTTTTCCTCTCAGGCATGTGTGGTTTGTCCCAAGAGAGGCCTCAGGGCCAGTTTTCCAAAGGAATTCAGCCAGCTGAGGGCAGCTCTGTCCCAAAGGGACACTCACTGAGGAATGCTCCTGAGACAGACCAGAGGGGACCAAAAATCAGATCAACACCAGAAAGTTTCCAACTTTCACTGGCTTCAGGAGAAGGTGACAAAAAGGGCACTGAGGGATGCCAGACAAACTGTGACAGTCCATGGCTTCACACACAGCACATGATGGCCCTCACAGAATTGGAATAAATGGAAGTTTAAGTTCTCACCTGTTCTTTTATTCCTGTCCACATAACAATACTTGATTTCATAATCTTTAAACAAGTCGTGGATTTCCTGCAAGGGAGAAGTACAAATAACATCACATAAATAAGTCCCCAAACCAAGCAAGTGGATAAATTCATCCTCATTTCAAACAAAACCAAAAAGTTTCCCCACAAACAGAAAATTTCACCATAGAAACACTATCAAATATTTGTTTTTAAAGGAGTTGGTTACACACTGCTGCAGCAATGTTTTAATCTCACATAAAAAACTGGCTTGCAGAATTTGATTAATTTGTTTTTCATTCTCTGCGGTGACATAAACACAAAGGGGCGTCCTGTAACTGTCTTTTGATAAAGACAAATAACATCACAGCTCATTAAATAGCAAAACCCTCTCCATTTCTCTAAAGTACAACTGGCATAGCTAAAATACCACATGGACAAGGAACGCTGGCAGCATCACATCACCAAATTTACTGAGGGCACAGTGCTGCCCCAAAACCCAACAGTTGCTTTAGTTTCCTGCTCAAGTTCACTTTAATAGATTTTCACCCTTAATAATGGATATTCTTTCACCCAGCAGATAATTGTGGCCAGAGCACCCCCTGGAAAGTATCCTCTATCAATTACTGCACAGCTGCTCAACAGAGAATCAACCCCAAGAGTGTTATTTGCTCCCACTAATTAATGGGAAGAGAGGAGGGGTGGTAAGAGCAAGTCTGAGAGGAGTTTGCTACAGCTCTTCTCAAAAAACCAAGGTGCACATCCCCCCAAAACCCCACAAATTATTGTCGTTCAGGGATGAGAAAGCAGAGTTGAGCACTCACCACCCCAAGGAAAGCCAAGAATAATAACCTGGATATTTACATTATTGTAGCTGGATAAATCCCATACACAGGAGCGCAAGATGATTTCTGCAAGCAAAATAATCAACCAGCTTTGCCTGAAAGTTTAATTGCAGCTGATTTCCAGCAGCTGAGTGGAGTTGCCAGTTTGGTAATTCAATATATGGAGCCTAAAGGTTAATTGGGTTCTCTGTGAGGGGTATCAGGTGCACACCTTTTGGTCAGGAGAGCACCAATCTCTGGTTTCACTATTTAACAGCTGTCAAACACTGCATTAATAAAATATGGCAGCATTTCTCCAGCCACCACACGTCCTCAAATAAGGTGTGATAAGGATGGAGTTTCTGAAATGCAAGATATGCCCAAAATTCAAGCCAGGCAGGGGATTTGAGTGTGGACACCTCTCAAACAACAATTAGATGGTTCTTCCTCAGACATAAGAGACTGAGAAGACACTTTCTGTACAGGTTTGGCAGCTGTGCCACTAAAGACTCCAAAAAATTGTTTCTGTCCCACTCAGAAAAAGAGGGACATATTTGCCCATTTGACTTCCTGTATTATTTTACAAGAGCAACACTGAAAGTTTTATATGATGATTAGGTAGCAGGAAATAGGATTTCAAATAGCTCTGAACACTCTTTTGAAAGTCATCTGTGTATCAGATGATTCCACATGATTCCCCAGGAACTGCCTGAAACTCTGAGAGGAAAACCAGCCCCTACTGAACAAGTCTTTGGGGGATAATTATGAGATCTCATAGAAAAACTGATGAGAATGAAAGGGAGATTTAAAATGAAGCCTGATTTAAGCACAGAAATCCAGTAAAGATTTTAACATCAACTGCCACAGGTGGCTGCAAACACTGCCAGGGTTGTGCAAAGGGCTCTTCCAGGAAGGTTCTGCTTCTTGTGCTCTCGTGGGCTCTTGGCAGGGCTGAGACCTTCACCTGTGGAACTGGGGCTGGGCAGTGTTTCAGTGAAAGCATTTCTCACATAAACACCCTTCGTGAGGATTTACAAAGATAAAACACACCCTGCCAACGCTAGGGAAACGTGCACTCCTTTCAGTGAAACAGCTGTAAATAAATATCTGTGTGTTACACTGAGATTTCTCTGCTTGCTACGCCAGGCACTTCATCTCCAACATCTCCCAGCACTCAGGTCTGGTGCAAAAGAAGGAACAGAGCTCCCATTGTGCTGTTGTTCCCAGTTTCCCTCCCCACAGCTCAGGGCAGAAGTGTCAGGAAAGCAAGGGGAACGACAGCTCTGCAGGCCTGGGCCACGAGGGAATGCTGGCTCTGGAGCAGAAGGGGGTCAGCCAAGTCAGGTAGATCCTGTGCTGCGACCCCGTTAACTTGTGAGGAATGTAAGCACAGGGATGTTTCCGTGAGAACGGCAGAAACAAACACAGCCGCCTGCTCGCAGTGCCGCAGCTCGCTCCTGCTGTGGTGCCTTTCACTGTAACTCAGGCCTAGGGGTCTGTTTTATAACCCCCCATTTGGTATTTTTATGGCATATTTTATTCTCAATGGATTGTTCCTTTGCCCCTGTGCTGTGGTTTTGCCCTAGGTGTCCATCTCCCCAAAGACCTGCCCTTTTGTTCCCTGTTCCTCCTCCCACTGAATGTCAATCCCTTCCCAAGCCTGCCCATTTCTCTAGAAACTTCCCCAAGTTTTGTATCCTTCGAGGCCCCATTGGTTTGTTTAAATCGTTCTGCTCCCCTGTAATCCCCTCTTGGTTTAAACATTGTATTCCCCACCTTGTGGTCCACCCCAGTTTCTCCCAATTGGTCAAAGTTTGTATCCTCCCCGGGGACCTCCCCCATTTATAAATTGATGTATGCTTAGATTTTGACAACAAAAATGTTAAGCAGTTCTATCTGGTCCCTTCCAACCCAAACCACTCCAGGATTTTGTGCTCCTGGAACAGAAATATAACCAATAAAGCACAGCCACTCTACAGCCCCTTAAAGCTTTAAAAGCAGATAATCTTGTCATCAATACAAATTAAAATTGTAACTAGGAAATAATTGGTCATACATGAAAATCAGCAGAAAAAGCAAAATCAAATATAATAAAGGGAGTTGAAGAGAAATCACACTTTATCCTTTAAAAAAGAGTATTATTTACAACTGTAAATATGGTCAGGAAATAATTCAGTTCTTGCCCTGTCCTCTCTTTGGTAACCTGAATTTTCAGTACTTATTATCAATTTGAGACTTGCACCTCTGAGACAACAAAATTCCTTAGAGAGGATCTTTGTGTTAAGTACCTGCATTGTTTTAAACACACATTAGAAAAAATTAAACACTCATTCACAGGCACATTTACCAAATTAGTAAAGCTCAGTGGTTTATTTCTAACAAACCCAGACTCTCACAGTGTAAGGGAAAAAATACCCAAGAAATTCTCACTACTCACCTGGAACAATACATAAGATATATTTAATAATGTATATAAAGCCTACAGCACACTAAACTCAAGCAGTGTTCTCTCTCTGGAAGCAAAACTAGACTTGATATTAAATGTAATAATTGTGCTATTCTGGCAACAGAATATTTAACAATTCTAAGGGTGCCTGGCCAGATGTCTGCAGTGAGCTTTAGGGAAGTCTCCAATATAAACACTCTCCAAGCCTGGTCTATAACTTGGCTCTCACTGAGCAGCTGAAGGCCTGAACTTCACATGAATATCCTTGAAATGAGAATCAATTAAGGTTAAAGTAGTTACTTGGCTAAGCAAGAAGTTTTAAATCATCTCACAGCTGAAAAAGGCTTTGTTCCATTTGTACAGGCAGGATAAGAAAAAAGAGAACTTCTCAGAAAAAAAGCTTCACATTTACAAAATGATACAATGGGATGTTCATTTGATTCAGATTTTAGACTGCTAAATATTTGAGTTCATGGCATAACACAGGGATTTCACTGTAGATATTAAATAAATAATAAGTACTAAAAATGAATATATTGACAGTTTAAATAATATGTTACTAAGGGGAAAACCCAGAACTCTGCTGGAGAGCAAGTGCAGCACTCAACACCAACAAAAGGGTTAATAAAAAACAAAAGGACTGATGCAAAGCGCAATTTTAACCATCTCCTGATCAGAGAGGTAGGAGAACCTCAAAATTGAATTAACTGCTGGATAAATCCCCCTAAGAAGTCCCATTTCAGGCAGACAGGGCTCACCACACCTCTTCCCTCCCAGTTTCCCAGTGGCTCTCAGTGCTGAGTTAAGGAAGTTCTCCAAGGAGCAAAGCTGGAGGATCAGGGCTGAGATGTGGCAGATGCTGGAGCTGCCAGGAGCAGCGAGCACTGAGGTGTGTCCCAAAGCTCCTGCTCAGCTCACTCCCTCTTCATCTCCACAGTCCCAAACTAGGAAACATGAAATGGATTCAAGCCTGTCATTGCAGGCCATAAACTGCTTTTGGGGCAAACCTTTGTGTTTGGGAATTGATTCTCACTTTTCAAAGACCAGAGCCCTCAAAGGTCTTCAGTGAAGTAATGTAAGAAAATGTGAAGACAGGAAAACAACAATTTCTCAGTGGAATGAAAACCTTTTTCCTCTGATCTTCCAGAGACTTTTGGGAGTGTTGGTAAGAGGATCTGTATGGGACTGGAAATTAATTCCATCATCCTGGGTATACTGGATGGTGTGAGAGCTAAATGAAAGAAGGAAAAGACATAGGAAAAGGTAACCTGAGAGAGCAAGAGCTCAGAGCAAAAGAAATGAAGAAAATGTTAAAATGTCCATCTTAAGGCACGAGAGCTGCTCCCTCCCCACAATGTGCCTTTCATGTTCAGGCAGTGTGACAGAGGAGGAATGAAAACACAAAGGCCCTTCTACTTAAAGCTCTGGCATCCAACAGATCGGAGAGAGCACTTCCTCAAATCATCACACCTCATTAGAGGCTTTCCATCTAACGAGGAAAATTATGGCTAATCCAGGGAGAAAGGGGGGAAAATGCCACAAGCCCACCAGAAACAGCACCACGCTAAGAAGGGATTTGGCTTTTGATCAGGAACAGACAGCAGAAAAAAACTGAATGGGTCCATCAGGTTCCAAAATACCAAATAAATCCCTGTCCCAGGTGGACTGTACCAGGTTTGGATCAACACCTCAGTGCTTCATTGTTCTCTGGATTCTGTCCCACCCCAGGAGAACCACGGGGTGTTAAAATAATGAACCTGCCCTACTTTGCTGCATGTCCTACATTAAAGTGTCCTCTCCACCAGGTTTATTTTGTACAAGTATGACATGGTGACATTTAGGGATAATCAACCCAATCAACCCAAAAATGGCTGAGAGTAATTGCATCTTCCACAGCATCTTCTCTTATCTGCAAAAAGTGGAAGCAAAAAGCCAACAGCCCTTGCTGGGCAGCTGATCTTGGCACAGAACACTGGAGATCTGGCTACAAATTAATTAATAATTATTACAATGAGTATTAGTTTTATCAGTCTTATATTAATTTTAGATATGTTTTATTTTGCCTCAATAATTAAACTGTTCTTCACTCCCAAGCTTTACCTTTCCCCTGATTCTCCTCAGCACCAGAGCAGTGAAGAAGTGAAAAAGTGGCTGTGTGGTGCTGGGATAGAAGCAATACAAACTCAAAATGAAACTTCCTGTTCAGTGAGGTACAACTTCACTTCCACTCTGGTCATCCTGAAGTTCTTGGCATCTCTTTAGCAGAGAAGGAGAGAGGAAGGTGGTATTTCCTTCCCTCCCTCTGCTCAGAGCAGCCCTCCTCCTCCAGAGCACTGGGAACAGTTTCAGGATTGTTCCAAGGACCTTCTGGTTGTGATTTTTGCTCTAACAGCATCCCAGGGGACTGTGTTCCTTGCTGCTGGAATGGATGATGGATCAGGGATGTGGCTCAGGGAGATGCACACACAACAAGAGATCCCTGATCCAGCGCCAAGCAGATCACGATGAAAGCATCCCTACAACCACGCTCACTTTTAAGTCTCTTGGCAAAGGCTGCTCCTGCAAACATCAGCCTGACCACAGCACCACATCAGAGCTGCCAGAGCTACAAGGACAGCCCCACTATCTGCTGCTCTTCAAAAGCACTGGCACTGAGGGATGATCTTAGCGCAGAGCATCCCCCATCACTGCCTGCCCTAATGCAGCCATTCAGTGACTGCTGCAGGAGCACAGGACACGTCCCCACTCTGGCATGAAGAGCTGGCACTGGAGGAGTGGGATCTGCCAGGGCTGCAGGAGGGAGCACAGCGGATCCCTGCCCCAAGCACGTATCCCAGTGAAGCTCCATGCAGAAACAGGGAAGCCTCTCATGATCCTGCTGCACCCCCAGCACTGAACTCTGCCCCTTTAGGGCACAGTCACTGCTACAGGTATCAAAGATCTGAGAATTCAGAGAGGTCAGCAACAGCCTGTGGCCATCTCTGGGTCATTACCACACCACACGTTTGGGATTGTGCTGCAGGAATCCCACGAGGATCCATCTGGGGAGCTACCTGGCAACTCTACAGAGTTCAACATCCCCAATCTGCCAGCTGAACAGCAAGTGGAGACTCTGCCTTCAAGAAGAATTGTTCATCCCACGAGGATCCATCTGGGGAGCTACCTGGCAACTCTACAGAGTTCAACATCCCCAATCTGCCAGCTGAACAGCAAGTGGAGACTCTGCCTTCAAGAACAGAAGAATTGCTTACCACAGATCTGCCACAAAAAATCCTTTCTCCATGGCTGTAGTGAGAGAACTGCCTGAAGAAACACTGATCCTGCAGGCATCTCTTGGTAGGGTGAACTCTGGTTTCTAAACCCATTTCTGGTTCAGAAACCTCATGGCCAAGGGACATTTCTTCCGTGGCCTCAAGGATAATTTATTTTCTTAATTTAGTTTAACACAGGTGGGGCTCCAAAGGTAATTGAAGATTACAAGTACCATAATAAAGTTAATATGTAGCTACAACTGGCAGACGAATTACATTCGTTATGTAACTTCATATTAATAAAATCAGGTTTTTCCTACTTCTCTGATGAAACTGAGTATCTCCACCAATCAACCTCTCTATCAGCAAAACAGTCATTTTTCACTTCAAAACTATTTTGGCAAATCTTGGCCTCACTCTTCACTTAACAACAAATGGCAGCAAAGCCAACACCCCAACGCTCAGAGATGAATAGTTACACTTATGAAAACCTATTTTGGGAGACTTGGCTCCATTTCAGTGATGTTCATCTCCCTCCTGACAGCGAATAAAACTGGCCAGGTCAGAAACAGTTTATCTGATTTTACTTGGCTCACCAGTTACTGCAAGGAGAAAACAGAAGACAAACCCGTGTTTACCACGGGTGTTAACTGGCAACAAGAAATGTTAAATTTCATAGTAATTTTTGAACCATATCGCAGCCAAATACACAGGTAGACATAACATGCCTGACCACAAACACAATTCTTTCCAAAACTGCTCCAGGACAGAAACTTTCTCTATATAGCACAATTCTTCTGCCTTTGTTACCACCACCGGCAGCTCATCAATGTTAAAAATAAAAATGACAGTTTGTAAAATGCATTTTAGCATCTGTACATGGTGTTCAGGGCAACATTAGAACCTGACGCATAGGAGAAAAAGGCATCTAAGCGCTGCTTTTAAGGCATCAAAACAAAAAGGCAAACTTCCAGAAGACTCCGTGGCTGCCAAACTTGACCTTAATGTTGGTATTTCCCTGTAGCTGAGCAAGGAAGGCCAAGCCCGAGAGGTTCCACAGAGGTGAATTCCCACAGGCAGTGGGAGCAAGGGACACAGCCGGAGTGTCAGGGAGCGCTCCTGTCCGGGCCATCCACGGCGAGCAT